GTATCGATGGAAGAACGCCCCAATTAGTTAGAACAATTAATTCTGCACTTCCAGAAGGGGAGGGATCTATACATGTTTTGGAAACAATTAAGGGAGGTGTTCAGCAATGTGCTAAAAAGTGAGGGGTTTTTTTAGATTCTGATTTTTAATTCTGATTTAAATTCTGATTTTAAATTCTGATTTTTAATTCTGATTTTTAATTCTGATTTTTAATTCTGATTTTTAATTCTGATTTTAAATTCTGATTTTTAATTCTGATTTTAGATTCTGATTTAAATTCTGATTTTTAATTCTGATTTCAAATTCTGATTTTAAATTCTGATTTTTAATTCTGATTTTTAATTCTGATTTTTAATTCTGAATTTTAATTCTGATTTTTAATTCTGATTTTAATTCTGATTTTTAATTCTGATTTTAAATTCTGAATTTTAATTCTGATTTTTTTAAATATTATTTCTGATTTATTTTCCAGAATTTCTGATTTTTTAAATATGTAATTCCCTTATAATTTTCTTTATTTCCCAAGATGTTTTGAACACGCCCCAGACAAATGTCGTTCTTTCAATTTTGATAAACAAGCTGGTAATTGCAATTTACTTTATTTGGGTGGACAAGGGTCTTTACGACCAGAGCAAAAGACACAAGTAATTAAATTATCATTAAAAATGTGTAAAATAATAATATTCTAATTAAAATGAAAATTAAATTCCTTTAAAGAAGGAAAGCTATTAATTTGGATTTTTAACTTTAAATTACATATTCTAAATTATTTAAAACTCCCTAGCCAATCAAAATTCTTTTTAATTTTTTAGTTTGATTTATACGATGTTCACTGTTTGAGTGGGACATCTCAACTTTTAGGAGAAAATTCTAAACATTCTCCTTCTGCTTGTGTCGACCCAGAAGGGGCTATTTTTAGGTAAATTGAAGTATTTTTTCAAAAATTTTTTTAATTTAAAGTCGTTTCCTTTATACTCGTTGGGTAGCTAATTCTCCAAATCGTGAAATCTCAAGTTTACCACTTTCGAAATGTTTAAATCTTTGTTCAACTGGGGGAGAACAGTAAGTTTTTAGATTTTTAATTTTTTTAAAAATTTAAAAATAAAAACAATTTCAAATGAAATCTGTCACATAATTTTAATTAAATTAAGTATAGAACCATATACCAAATTTAATATATCAAGGCAAAAACTAAAATTAAAACTTTGATTTTCGTGGTCAAGGTCTTTGTTTGGACTTTGGGTAGCTGCCCGTCCCCCGTACCTGACGATTTTTTTGACAAAAACTTGACCCGAACCCATGTAACCCCCGATCACCGACGACCCAGAAGGCTCGGGGAGCTACCCTAGTTTGGACTATTCTCAATAAAACAATAATTTAATTTATATAAATTTTTTAAGAATCTAATTATTTACTCCGATTTTTTCCTTCTTTCTAATATCAACAAAATATTTTTTGAGTCTTCCAAAAATCAAAAAAATTTTTTTAATAATTTAATTTAAACAGATGTGAAGGTGTTAATTACAATCGTCGCAATGGTTCATGTCAATTATTTACTTCCCTTTTATTAAATTCTTCTCCAAATTCACAACAAGACAAAGACGAACACGTTGATTTTTACAGAAATATTTGTAGAGTTAAGGAATCGAAAAGTGATAGCGGGGCTGCTAATGTACCCAAAACACAACAAGCAACGGCTGCACCTCCCCCTTCTGTTCAATTAACTGTGAGGGAATTTTTAAATTTTTCTAACTTTAATTAAAAATTTTGAGAGAAAAAAAGGCTTCTTTAGCTAAAAAAAATAATTTTACGGAAATTTTATTTGAAGCTTATTTTATTATTAGTCTTTAAACTTCTCCAAATATTCTTAGAAATTTTTAAAAAACCCCTTGGGTGTATTAATTAATACATTGATAAATAGAATAAATATTTTATATGGTCCTAATTATTTTACTACATAATCACAATTAAAATTTGAAAATAAAAAATCTGAAAATTAAATTTAATGCAATTTAATTACTTCCCTACAAGTGGAAATTTAATTTTCCTTTTTTTTCATTTTTTGTTAAATAAATTCAAGTTTATTTAGTCTAATTAATTTAGAAAAAAAAATTTTTTAAATTATTTACGAATCCAATTAAAATAAAATTAAAAATATTTTTCAGACTAAACCTCCACAAATTCGTGATTTAAATAACAACAATAAAACATTACACAAAGTAAATTTTTAGAAAAATAAAAAAAAAAGTTTTTTTTTTCAAATTTAAAGGAACCAAATATTAAACTTCCACCAAAACCTAAAAATGGTGGAAAAACTGGAAAGGAACAAACTCCTGTAGGGTCAAAATCTTTTGGGGTTCCTACTGGAAAGGATCCAGATGAGGTGATTTTTATTGTTTTTTTCAAAAATTTTCTGACTTCTCCCGGCTTTTTTTGTTTTTTTAATCAATCCACTGACATATTCCGTATCGAAGTTAATTAGACTTGGAGGAATTTTCTATTCGAATAATTTTATTTCATTACAAACCCAATCCTTTAAGTTAATAACAAATAAATATTTGGATAAGTCAGAGGGAAAAAATTAAAAGAAATGAGTAAAAATTGATATAACTTATTAAAAATTTAATTTGGAGCCTTCTTACATAATTTTCTGGTCTAGTTTATAAGCCCAATTTTAATTCATAAACTCGATTAAATCTCAATTTTCATTATATAGAATGCAATAACTGGAACTGTTACTTCTCCTGTAGATGGCAAATTAATTATTAAACCTTCACCACAAGTTTCTATTCCTTCCCCGGTACTTATTCCAGCACAAGAAGTACATACTATTTGTAATTATGAAGGGATTAGTGTTCAAGTAAGAAATTAATTTTATTTTTTAATTCTGTAACTTTGGGAATATAGCGAATTGACTTTAAAAATAGTTGAGGAAAAACGAAATTTAAATTAAAGAAACACTAAAAACAAAACTGAAACATTCACGAAATGTACAGGGTGTCCCAACTAAAAAGCACTATTTTAAAACTTAATAACTTTTTTAAGTAGACAGATTTTTACGATATTGGGTAATTTATATCTATAATTTATGAGAATTTTTTTGACATAAAAATTATGTCTACCAAAAATCCATGTCCATGTCAAATCCATGTCAATCCATGTCAAAAAAATTCTCATAAATTATAGATATAAATTACCAAAAATCATTAAAATCTGTTCACGCACTAAAAAGTTATTAATTTTTCAAATAGTGCTTTTTAGTTGGGACACCCTGTATATATTATGTACGTTCACATAAATGCTTCATTGTTTGTGGAAAACACAGTTTATGTGAGAACATGAGAATTTTTTCACGAGAGAAGTTTCGGAAACTATAACTTTAATTAAGTAATTAGATTCCACATTTTAAGGCTTTATCCCTCTCTTTCTATTAATAGCTTCTTTAATTGCTTTGAGGGAGAAAGGGGATTTAAATAAATAATTATTATTATATAATATATTTAAATTTTTCTAAAAAGATTAAACATTCTTCTCCATTCTCTGGTGTTGTTTTTGTTCGAAACAAATATGATACTTGCCGTGTTGAAGTTGAGGGAAAGGATAGCGTTGTTTTGGTTTTGGGGCTTCCAGCAAATTTTGGAATGAAACCAATTGCTTTAATTAATTCACAAAAACATGGAAAGGGGAATAAAACACACGGAGATACTTTACTTTCTGTTGAAGGTTGGAAAATTAAATTTTTAAATTAAATAAAAACAAAGGAAAAACAACCAAGTTTATAAGCAAATTAAAGTTACGGCGATACTTATAAAATAGCCTTAATTAAATTTTAGACCATTAATTTTTTGCCTATTTTTCTCTAAGTTTCTTTTTTTTCAAAAATTTCATAATTTTTTAAGAATTATTTGGCAAGTTTTGGTTAAAAATGTGGAGTTTTCCATAAGCTGAATTTTCGAATTATTTATATTTTCGAATCCATAACCTGAGAAATACAAAAGCAAAAATTTTGAAAATTGTAGGATTAAAAGTTAACATTATGGAGAATATCTGAACAAAATTTTATTAATTCAGGATTCTTTCAGATTGTTTTATAAGCGTTGGAATATATGGCAAACATCATACATATTACATATCCTCTTACCTGAAAATTAAAAAAAAATTTTTTTAATAAAAATAAAAATAAATTTTATTAAATTTTTATTAACAAAAAATCTTCCATTTTTTCTTTTATTTTTACAATAAATCCTCCTTTGGGAATTCCCTTAAAAAATTTTTTTCCCTCAAAAAATTTCCTTTTTCAGGTTCCAAAAAACAAATTGAAGGGGGTTCTTCAACTGAAGATATTCACTTAATAAATTCTCAAAAGGACCTTAAACGTTCAAGAAGACAATTACAAAGAGATTGTGGATTACAAGATATGGACAATGGAACTTACAAAACTGTTATTGTTGTCCAAACAAATAATTTGGGAATTCCGGGGCTTGTTACTTCCATGGACCAACTTTATGAGGCAAAAAATTTTTTTAAAAATTAATTTTTAATTTTTTTAAATTTTTTTGGAAAATTTTATTAAAAAATATATTTAAAATTATTTTAAATTTTAATTCTAATTTATACAAATTTTTTTAATTTAAACACCATTTTTAACTGTCACTCTTGCCTGTACAAACACAATCTCATTCTCTCTCTTATTTTTAGTTGTTTATTTAAGTTTTCTGTCATCTGCCATGATAGCTCAGTCGGGAGAGCGTTAGACTGAAGATCTAAATGTCCCCGGTTCGATCCCGGGTCGTGGCATTCTTTTTTCCTTTTGTTTATTTTAATTTGTTTTGACTAAGAATTAATGAAAATTAATGTTAAAATGGTGTAAAAAATTTTTCAAAGAATTTTTAGAATTTTTTGGATTATTTAAAAAATAAAGAAATAAAAAATTTGGGAAATTTTTGAAAATTTTTTAAAATATTTTAAAATGAAAATTTCAAATTATGAATTTTAAAATTATGAAATTTCAAAATTTTCAAGAAAAATTTTTTTTATTTTTTATTTTTTTAATTTCTAAATTTTTAAAGATTTCCTGTAACTATTCAAGTATGTTGGGAGGCAAAGTCCAGACAGCAGCTGCATTACGTGTTCACGGTCCCCAACCTTCACTAATCCAACCTCGCGGCAAAATAGAATTGGGAAATCCTGTTTTGATGCAAATGGGCCCTGTACGTAGTGAAAGGCAAAGTGGGGAAGGGCCTTTAATTCAAGTAAAGATTTTTGGATTTTTTTTAATTTTTAAATTTAAAGGCTAAATTGGGGGATATTCTTGAATTAAAATGGGAAATTATGGCGATGGATGAAGAATTGGACTTTTTAGTTCGTGATTGTTTTGCAGAACCGGGAACTTCTGGAAATCAAGGGGAAAGACTTCCTTTAATTGAGAATGGGTAGTTTTCATATTTGAAAATTTTTTTAATTTTGAGGTGCCTTTAAGGGTATAGGAATTTTCTAAACAAACGAAGAGTTAAAAGTGATCAGGAATATTGGAATAACAAGATTTTTTCCTTAGCCGTCATTTGAAATATTTTGAAGATTAATTGAGGGGATTGGAAATTTAATTAATTGTTAATTTTAATGAATTTTGTCCCCTCTTTTGAGAAATTTATTTTTAAATAGAGTGGACTTTAAAATTCCCACAATACCACACAACACCCATACCCCTACACATTTCTCCATAAAACCCAAAGTTTTAAATATTTTTGTAACCAAATACGTGGAGATAATTTGATAGTACCATTTTTTATCTAAAAAGTCATTATTATCCCACCTCAAATATATTTTTTAATTATTCTAAAAAATTTATTTTTTCTAGTTGTCCAACACCAGCAGTAGCACAAAAATTAATTCCAAATCCAATAAAAGCAATTAATTCTGCAGTTAAATTAACTTATTTACAAGCATTCAGATTTGACAGTTCTCCAGCTATTAGAATAACTTGTCATTTAGAATTATGTAAAGAAAATTGTAAATCGGTAAAAAATAAATAAATAATTTTTTGAAATTAAATAATTCTTTTCAAAAAAAGGTTAATTGTAAATTTAATGATGGAATTAAAGAATCGTGGGGCAGAAAACGCCGTTTTGCTATTGACAATAATATTAATAGGAAAAATGAAGTTAAAGAATGTGAGGATTTTTTTATTTAATTTTTTAAAATAAAATTTAACTAAAACCTCTATTTTATGTACTCCGTTAAAAGCGACTGTACGTTGTATAGAGGTTTTTTAAAAGAATTATGCAGCCAACTCAGTAGCAGTGATCCACAATATCTCATTAATAGTGACCTCTCATTATAAGCGACTTTTCTCTCTTTTCTTTTCTCGTCGCTACTAGAGAGAGTTGACTGTCTATTAAATGGAGGGTATTCCCTCTTTAAATTTTTAAAGTCCCAAAAATTGTCTATTATATAGAGAGGTATTTTTAAGAAGTGTACGTTATATAGAGGTTTTGATTAATTAAAAAATAATTAATTTTCAAGTCGAAACTCGCCGTTTTGTCGTTCCCCGTTTTGCCCAGGCGACAACTTCCTTAGTTATTGTAGACCCTTTACAACAACAAAATTCTGTTATAAAAACAGAACAACAACAACAACCATTTATTTCACATTCCTCAATATCTAAACAAATATTTGAAAATAATAAAAAAGAAAATAATAAAAATATAACAAAAACAGCTAAAAAATCTTCTTCTCTTTTTGAAGCTTTTACTGAGGTTGGTTAATGAAGAAAATTATTCTAATTTTTTTATCTCAAAAATTGAGTAATAATTTGTAGTAATTTTCTGTTAACAAAGCTTTCCAAATTTTGATTTTATTTGGAGTTGGGGGCCCGATCCGGCCCGGTCCGAAAGATCGAGTCGGGCATTGGATTTTTGCCCCAGAAAGACTCGATCGGGCCGGCCCGATAAAAATGAGGCCGACAAAGATGACTCCCGACTCGAAAACCCTAGCCCTAATTTTATTATTTGTTTCGAAACAGATTTTTAATAGTACCTGTACGTGATGCGTTAAAGACTTAGCAACAATGCCACGAGGTCTAAGGTCTAAGGATCGATGCCTGCCAGGGCTAAACTTTAGTCTCTCTTAATCTGTTTTTTTAATTTTGGGGGTTTTTGGTTAAATTTGTATATCTCTAAGTTTAAAATTTTTTTATTTAAAAATTCTTCCGAAATTTTCTCTTCAATTACTTTTCCTTTAATTAAGAAAAATTTTAATTTTTCAAAGGCTGCTGGTGGAAGGAAAAATAATTTAGAATTAACAACAACAAATTCAGAACAACAACAACAACTTTGTTTACATAAATGGACACTTGGGGGTGTTTTTGGAACACTTTTAACATTAATTGTTGTTCAAAGTGGGGTTGTTGCTAAACATTTAATTAATCGATTTATTGTTGAAAAAAGAATTTAAAAAGGGGAAAGGAAATTAATTTTTAAATTTAAAATTTATTTAAAAAATTTTTTAATCTCTGACTTTATCCTCTTTTAACTATATTTTACATTTATTTTGATTGGGTAGGTGTTAGTTACTTTGATTGTTCATAAATTTTGTGGAGAGGGAAGGGAAAGGATTTCTCTAGATCACGTTCCCCGCATTCCCTCTCCTTTTTTAAACTTTAACACAAAAGTCGGAGATCTGTTTTAAAAATTGCACTAATATTTAATTTTTAAATTAATGTTATTTTTATTTTTGCTCATTAAAATTTATTTGTACTAAAATAAAATTTTTTCAAATTTATTTAAAAATTAAAAAAATATTTTTATTAAAAATACAAAAAAAATTAATTTTTAAAGTGTAAAAAGAAATAAAATTGAGGAAGTGAAAACAATCTTAAAATTGCCAAATAAGAGTATTTGGAGTTTAAAAGGCAGTTTTTTAAAATATTTTTTGGAAAAATTTTGAGTCCATCCATAGAAAAATAAAATTTAGAGAACACCTCCCCCTAAGATCAGTATTAAAAATAGTGATGAGTTGGGAAATTTGGGGAAGATGAAGAAACAAATTAGGTTTGGAAAAAGTAGCATATCATAAAAAGTCCCGGTGCTTATTTTTAAGTCAGCACTAAAAATAGTGATGAGTTGTTAATGTACTATTAAAAAATTTGGGGAAAATGAAAAATGTGATGATGTCTTTTAAAAATTGAACTGAAACGAGGTCTTTCGATTGATACTCAAATCAGATACTTAAGTTTTCCCCTCTGAGAGAAAAAAATGAGCATATTTAGATTAATCCTTATTTAATTAATTAACTAATCCCTCCCATTCATTTCCAACCAAAATTTTTTTTCAAAAAAATATCAAAACTAATTTTTTAAAATGGCAAAAATTCCTTCCTGAGTCTTTGCACATTTTTTTACAAAAAAATAATTTTTAAAGATTAATTTTACAAATTTATTCTTCAAATTGTTGTTGTTGTCTTTGTTGTGTAGAATATATTGGTTGTTCTTGTCCAATTTCATCATCCTCATTTTCATATAATTGTTTGTATAAAGGGCAGAAATAACAACACCAACAGGAAAAGCCAACAAGAACTTTAAAATTAAAAACCTCTGTATTACGTACACTCAATACTAGAGACTTTTCTTTATAATGAAAGGGAAGGGGCTTTTGGGAGGATAAGGTAAACCTCTAAATAACGGACAATTTAAAAGTGTGCGTAAAATAGAGGTCTTGACTAGTTAACAATTTTTTCAAAATAATTTTACCTGCAACTAAAACAATAGAGGCAATAATTAAAGTAATAACAGCGCCTGTAGGTATTGCAAAAGGGCAACAAGAGGGTTTCCTTTAAAAATCATTTTAAAAATAGCAATAAAAGCTTTAAAGCAATAAAAGAGCGAAAATTTCCCGATTTTTTCTGACCCAATGTAATGGACAACAAAGGGATCTAAAAAAATGTAACAAGAAACAGTTAGTCCTTTTTTAGTTTTAAAGTTTTTCCAGCACAATAGAAGGAGCTATGGATGTTGGTTTAACAATGGGCTAAATCTCTAGACTAGAACGGTCCAGAGTTGAAACTGGGAGTGTCATACGAGAATCATACGAAATTTCTCGAAAAATCTCGAACCTCGTCAACCGAGATTTTGCTAGAAATCACGTTTTGGTCCAGTCTCTAGCCCGGAAGCTTCTGATGGTCCAAAATTTTAATGCCTCCAAAGTTCAGGAAAAAATTTAAAACACAAAGAAAACTTGCCAAGAGCCCATATAAGGGAAAGTACAACACCAATTATAATTATCCCAATCTGTAGGTTGGGGACAATAAGCTAAATAGCCATAACCAGAGGGGCACCACCAAATCCTCCTTCCCCCTAATCTTCCTTCAACATAATGAGAACTTGGATCATTCAATCCTTGCGAAGAAGAAAAAGGAAAAAATAAATGGAAAAATGGGAAAATAAAAAATAAAAAAGAATTAAATTGTTGAAATAAATGTTGAAATATTGATGGAATCATTTATGTATTGACTGACTGGGGAAAGGAAAATAAATAAAAATATTTTTTTAAAAATCTAAAAGGAACTTAAAAAATAATTTTAAGAAAAAAATTAGTGGAAAGGATTTAATAAGTGTTAAATAAAATCAAATTTGAAAAAAAATATTTTAAATAAAATCGAAACTAAATGCCCCTAAAATTACTAGATATCCTCGATTTGGTTTGCCACAGGGTGAGGAAACTGCTTAAAAGATACCGTATTTGCTAAAATAATCACCCAGGGTAATTAATGTTTCAACCTCTAACTGGAGAGGGTAATTAAAAGGAAGGGAGTAATTATTTGAGCATTTTTAAGAAGGCTAGTTATAACTATGTTTAGGAGGAGTAATTACTTTTTCGATCTCTCGCTGGGGGAGTAATTAATAGGGAGAGGGTAACTATTTGAGAGAGGGACATTATTTCAGCATTTACGATACCTCTAATTTAAGGTAAAAATGTTCTGTCTCGAAGATTATTTAAAAATAAGGTATTTTGACTGTCTTTTGATTGAATTTATGTATTTAAATAATTAAAAATAACTAATTAAATGGCTGGTTATAGTACAAAAATTAAATAAAAATACTCAAGCAAAAATGTAAAAATATTTAAGCTAGTAAAGAATTTTTAAAGACAAACATTTATTTGATTGTCTTTTCTATCGCAAATTAAAAGAAAAAGTAAAGGATTGAGGTAAAATAAAAAATAAAAGAATTATTTTACGAGTTATGTATTTAAATTCATGTAAAAATAATCATTAATTACTAATTAATATTTAAAAAAATTTTCATAAAAAATTTAAATATATAAATTTAAAGTTAAAAATAAAGTAATATTTTGTTTATTTTGTAAAAGAATTTTAGATAAAAAATGAAAAAATATTAAGCTAAAATTAGCGTAAAAATTGATAAGAAAAAATAAAAAAAATGAAGGAAATTGTTTTAAAGTGGAATATAAAATATTAAATTTGAATGAGAATTGAAGTTGGAAGTTAATATTTATCTAATTGACACTCTGAAGTATATACAGGGATTAAGTGATTAATTGTTAAAAATAGAGAACGGACCGAGACGTGATCTTGATCAAAAATCTCGGTTATCGAGATCGAGAATTTTTTGAGATCTCAATTCTCGTATGACACTCCCAGTCCGGTCTCTAATTTAAAAAATATTTAAAATTAAAAGTTCAACACAGGTTTAATTAATTTATTTTAAAAACAAAAATACTCAACAAATTTCAAAAATAATTTTAAAATTCAATTCTTGGCAATCAAATTTCTTTTTGATTAATAAAAGTTTTGACTAATAAAAAAAGAGGAATTTTTGACTGATTTTTAATGTTCAAATTGTTTGGAAGCAGTAGAGGAGGGAAAAGCATTTTTGAGAGAAAGAAAGGAGAAATAAATAAATGAATGAGTCATTCCTACCTACCTTTTTACTAGCGCAAACGATTTTTACTAAAAATTTTGTAGACGAGGGAAGAAAAAAAATTTTTTAAAGTAAAGGCCATAAAGACAAGAAGAAAAAGGAGACTAAAATCGAGAAAATAAAATAAAAATATATATTTATTTTAAATAAAAAAGAGAGAAAAAAGTGGAAGAGAGAGAAAAGACAATATTTATTAAAATAAATGTACTCTCTCTAGGCTAATGGCCAATGTTTGCATTTTCGGCCCCCAACTTAGTTTAAATGAGAAAGTACATAAAAGAGGGGAATTTTGACTGGTCGAAGGTTGAGAGAGAAATTGTCTTTTGATGGTTATTGGGATTTTTAAACGTTTATAGAAAATATAAGAAAAATAGTAGAAAAAATTAATTTTAATTAAATAAAAAAGGTAAAAGGATATCAGAGATTATCGTGATCCGACTTTTTTCGCAACCCTTCCAATCTCTTATTGAACTTTGAATTAATTTATTTTTTTTAATGAGTTAGCTTGTGTGAAGAAATTAGAAAATTTCAAAGATACTTTACATGAATTTCTTACTCTTTTGATATTTTTATCTTTCAGTTTTACTCTGAGAAAAACTACTATATACCGAAAACGATATCCGAACCGAAATTCCCTGGTTGATATTCTCTTTCATCGTTCCCTGAAATCGAATCGCCAACTCTAATCAGAGCTAATAACTTGGAGTTAAACATTTATCAGAAAATGGAGATCATTATCATGCAAGGCTTCACACTCTCGAGTTGTAAAGAACAATTTGAAGTGGCTAAACAGCAAACAATACAAAGGTGTCGATGAAGGGATATGATTGCTTTAACAATCTCAAAAGCCTTGCCTGTTTATATAGCAAACCTAATCACAACAACATTAAAATACTATAAAAACAGCTCATTTTTACACACCAAAAACATCAACTACATCAACAAATCACCTTCGCAACAAGCAATCTTCAGCAACGAGGGCTCACGCTTCTTGTCAGCTTCAAAATCGCTCAACTCCACTCTTCATGCTCGAGTGTTCTACAACAATGTTCAGGCGCAGGATGTTCTCTTCCTTCTGTGTGTTGGGTCTGCTGCTTTTGCTCTGCCAGTTCTGTGATGCAAGGTGAATTTCTTTTAATTCCCTATTTCTCTTCAAGAGTTAATGTTTGTTTAATTCTAGAAACAGTACGGGACAAGTTCAGAAGAGCGGCAAAGGAGTAAATCAAACGAGCGGCATCGATGGATTGGATCAACGGAGCCTTGACAGCAAGATGCACGTGGATCAGAACAAGGACGATGGAAAGGAAGTTCATCAGGATGAAGAAAATCCGCCGGCAAACGAAGTAGAAGGGCAGGGAGGCGAAGGAGACAATGGAAATAAAACAGGCGATGGAGACAATGGACAGAATGCAGGCGATGGAGGCACTGAACAGAAGGAAGGCGGGAATGCCACAAACCAGGAGGGTGGAAGGTAATATTCTTATAAGATGCTTTGACGGTGACTCCTTTAACACGTTATTTTTTAATTTTCAGTCTTCATGTAAACCCACCGGTCTTGCCGCCAAACCCACCTCCGCCAGAAGAATCGACCAAACCACCGGATGAAACTTCTGCGCCACCTGACCCTCAAGGAAATACGACTGCGCCTCAAGGAAATACGACTCTACCGACTACAAACACAACAAATCCGGATAATAATGCCACAACCACCGGAAAAACCAGCAGCACTGAGACAAGTAGTGTTGAACCTGAAACGAGTGAATCCACTGAGGAATCTATTTCTACGAGCGATGAGGGATCTGATAAGACGGATGAGTCGGGACCATCGACGATATCAGTTAAACCTTCGCCATCGGGATCAGGTACAAATCCTCCAACGACCGTGAAGCCATCGACAACAACGACAGTCGCGCCTACGGAAAAGAAGGGTGGTAGCGGGTTGATCATCTTCATCGTCATTGTTGTTGTGGTCGGCATTCTGATAGGTGTGGCCTGCTGCGTGATGAAGAAGAAAAAGGGAGCCGAAGAGGAAAAGGATTTGGAGAAGCAAGAAGGAGCAGACGCCGGTTCAGTCAAGGAGGAAGGAGAAAAACCAGAAGGCGAGGAAGGAGAGGAAGGCGAAGAGAAGGAAGAAGGAGAAGAGGGCGAGGAAGGGTAAGAAAACTAAATTCTAAAATAGTTAAATAATTTTTGTTTATTTTTTCAGAAAAGAGACGCCCGAGACGAAGACCGCGTTGGCTCCTGGTGCTACACCCACTTCAACAATGGTGAAAGAAGGCACCACCTCTGAAGGCACTGCAATCGAGGCTACTGCATCACAGGCTGGAGGAGAAGGCAAAACATCTGCCGCTGCTGCAAGTAAAAAGTCGGGAGAAGGATCTGCTGCTCCTGCTGCTGGTGGTCCGGAAGGAGTGAAAACGGCTTTGCCAGGATCGGAAAGGTAAAAAGATTATCATTAAAAATACTTATCAACAAATCTAATCTTTCAAAAATATTTTCAGTGGAGCCGCTAAGACCGCTGCACCGCCAGAATCCAAGGAATCATCTGAGGAAGAAGGCGAGCCCAAAGAGGGAGCAGCAAAGACAGCAGTTGGTGACGAGCCTGCAGGAGAGAAGGCCGAAGAAGGCGCCGAAGGCGAGAAGGAAGAGAAAAAGGAAGGTGCCGGTGATGAAGAGAAGAAAGAAGGCGATGAAGAGAAGAAGGAAGGAGGCGGCGATGAGGAGAAGAAAGAAGAGGGAGCAGCAGCAGAAGGAGGAGAGGAAAAGGAGGAAGAAGGAGGAGGAGGAGATGAAGGCGCTGAGGAATGACCTAAAACAACACACACCGGATGTTGAAGAGAGAAAAGGAAGAAAAGAAGAAAATGGTCTCTTTTTGAAAATCACAAAATCTTGATCACTAAATATAAAACCATTTCTCTTCTTCCCTCTTTCTATATATTTGTTGTATCTCTCCCTGGATTTTTTCCATTCTTTGCGATGTTGCGTTCATTTGTATATAATACTCGCTATATATTTGTTTGTGTGTGTCTATATTCCCCCTTATATATAATCCCTCCCCTAAATATATATTTGTAGGCATATAAGATTTGTTTCTTGTGTTTTCCCAAATATTCCAATCTTGGAATATATTCTGTATATATTTGTATGTTGTATATATTTGTGTATGGTTGGGAGAAAATAAAAAATTTAAAAAATATGTTTGTGTTTTTTAGTTGAATTTTTAGGGATAAACACTTAGATTTAAAATTTTAAGGACGACTAGGTTTAAGCTTTTGTCCAACATTTGCTTTTGCCTTTCCTTTTGAGATTTGAAAAAATTTTTCAATTATTTTGCGTTATCGTACTTTACTTTTCTCAAATAAGACCAAACTGTTTCATAAAATAACCCTGATTGTCTGGTTTTAACATTCTCTTTGGATCGGGTCATGGAGAGCCCGGATTTCTGGAGTCGAGTCTATTAAAAATTTTGAATTCAGCCTGAACCTGAGAATAGATGTAATTCATTTATCTTTAAATTTTAGAAAAAAATTGAGATTTAATTAAATTTGTTGGTAAAAATATTTTGTGAATTTAATTTTCAGATTTTAAAATTTAAAAAATTTACTTTCTCATATATCTTATTTCTACCAAAAAAGTTATTTCAAAAATATTTTTTTTCCAAAAAAATCACCGTAAAAATTTAAAAAATTTTCAAAAAATAATTTTCTTCATTTACAAAATAATAATTTCCTCATTTACATTTTTATATTCACTTACATTATTTTCTTCCTGACTTCTTTTTCTTCCAGATTTATTCAAAACTTTTTTTGCTGTTAATTTCTTTGGTGGGGTTTTTTGTTTTTCAAATATTTCTTTATCTTTTCCTCCTTCATCCCTCTCATTTTCCTCTTCTTTTTCTAAAATTTTTTCTTCTTCTTTGTTTTCATCTTCTTCAACTTCATTTTTATTTTCTTCTTGTAATTGTTGTGGAGGGGATAATTCACGATTATTAACTCCATCGTGTGATTTTTGGTGAAAAACAAATGTAATATCCTTTAAAAATTAAAATAAATTTGATAAAAAAATTATAGAGAAAAAATCAGTCTCGAAGGGTAGACGAAAAACTCCATAATATAAGTGAAATTAAAGCTAAAAGAGGATGAACATCGTTTCTTAAATGGAAATGGGAGCAGGCCAACCTACCGTGAGCCCAACCCACCGCCAAGGCTATAACTCCGTTCAGAATTGTCAAATTCAAAACGCCATGGTAAGGTTCGATGCGCCTCACGAGATGAATCGAACCATATCAGGTCGTAACCGGGTTCAACAATTTAAAACGAAGTTATAGCCTCGGCGGTAGGTTGGGGTGTACCCAAAAGAAATAACTAAGAATCCCTCATAGAAGAAACTCATAAAATTTGATCTCTAAAAATTTTATCAAAAATTCCCATTCCAAACAGATCAAAACATTTAAAATTCTGAGAACATAAGAAATAAAATAGAATTTTAAAACCTTAACACACTCTCTAAGAGAACGTATAATTTGATCAGGAACTTTTCGATGATCACGTTCAGAATGATGCCATAGAGCCAAATCAGAATTTGTATCAGCCGTTTCTGGTGGATCTTTCATTTCTTTTCCGTTCATACAACGTTGACATTTAAGCCTTTAATGAAAAATTTTTTTGAATTTTAAAATTCTTATTTCCATACTTATCGTGTGTGTCACTACTTGTTTGTGTCTCCAATTGAAATAAAGTTTTTAATTCATCAGCGCTAAAATGCCTCGCAACATTTTCTACTTCATCCACAACACAAGAAGAAAGCGCCTTTTTATGAGTTTGTCTTTGAAAAATTTTTTCTTCAATTGTACCTCTCTATAAAAAAATTTTTTTAAATTTCTTTTTTGTAATTAAAAGGAAAACCGAAAGAAGTCTATAGACAAAACAAGTCTTTTTTTGTCCATCTCTCCAAACTCTAGCCATTGCTTGACCATCATTTGCAGGATTCCAATCTGGGTCAAACATCACTAAACGATTTGCTCCAATTAAATTAAGTCCACAACCACCAGCTTTTGAAGAAAGTAGAAAAGCAAAACAATCAGACTAGAAGTTTAAAAATAATTTCAAAAAGAAAATTTAAAAAAACCTTTGGATCATTAAATTTTTCAACAATTTTAGAACGTTGTTTAATTGACATTGTGCCATCCAAACGAACAAAAGGGTAATTTCGAAGAGTGCAGAGCTATGTAAAAAAATTGATATAATGATAAATCATTATATTCGAATATTTATTAATATTATTAAATATTATTAAATATTAATTTTTATAAATTTATTTTTAATCTTTAGCCTTTAATTTTATTTTAATTTAGACTTTTAGTTTCTTCTTTATCGTTTTTGTTCTGCACCTGCCAGGCGCGATTTAAAGAACAAAAGAAAAGAAGGAAAAATAAATTTTTATATATTTTCTTCGTAAAATGTAATTCTATATTTTCTACAACTTTCTAAAAAATTGTTTAATTTAAATTTTTAAATAAATAAATATTATTTATTTATTTTTTATTCTTTTTAATAAAGTTTCCTAAACTTTATAATTTTTTGGAGAAAGTCTAAATTGGGTTTAGACTTTTGTTAACAACACTTATTTTTCGTTGTTCGCGGCCCCCTGTTTTCTTTAGCTATAAAAAAATATTTTTTATAATTAAAAATTTTTCTTATCGATTTTTAATTTTAAAATTATGATCCCAAAAGTAATAAAATTATAATGAGTTGAGCAAGTTTAGCCATCGGGCAAGAATCGAATTTGATTCAAGGCAGTTGACTTCAGGTGCTTTAGGCTCCGGGATAATGACTTGCATACTCTCTTACAGATCTAAAACCTAAGTTACTTAAATTATTATTTCGTTAATCCAAATACTATCTGAAAACGTTTGCTAACAATTTTTGTTAAATTTATTAAAGTCGGAAAAATAAACAATTTTAATTAAACCCCCAACAAAACCTGCTCAAAAGCATCCATTGTCTGTGTATAATTAGAAACAAGTACAAAACGATCATCACAAGTACGTCTAGAATAGGCTAACAAATAATCTAGCACTCGCATTTTTCCAGACCATGCTGGGTCGAAAATAACACGATTGTTGTCATTGGTTCTGCCATTAGTAGAAAGAGAAAAGTTTGGAGGGAATAATTCGAGGCAATCTAAAAAATAGCATTTATTTTAAAAATTATTTTATTTAATAAAATACAAAAAGGTTTGATAAGGTGGGAAGTAATAGAGTTATTATTAAACAGAAGGGGACCCCTACCTGAAATCTCTCGGAAAACGAAAATAACTTAAAAATTCTACTCCGTTTCTTCTAATTGAGGTTGGGGGCCCGGTTCGGAAGATCGAACCGGGCCTCGAATTTTGGCCCGAAAAAGACTCGAATGGCCCGGTCCGATAAAAATTAGGCCCGAAAAAATGATTCGAACGTCGGCCCGGTTTGAAAAATCCAACCCTACTTCTAATGAGAACCCGATTGACTTGTCAGGAAATTCCCTACTATCCTCTCCAATTATTTAAAAAACAATTTTAGTTAAAAACAAACCCTCAAATCCAGCATCTTTTGCTTGACATTTAGAAAATATTAGTTGTGGATGATTACATAATTTCTTCAAGTTTGTTATAAATGCAAGTGTTGTATAGGTATTTAAAGCTCCTCTAGCCTTCCTCAATTCTTTATCCATATATTTTATCATTTGGGCATACAATGTTGTTTGGAGTTCTGTGAGTGAACAGATACATACTAATTCGTATTTAACCTAAATTAAAAAAATGGAAAATAAGAACGTGCTGCAAAAATCTTTTAGGAAGCCAACAAATTTCAAAAAAATATCTTGATAAGGTTAGAACTAAATTTAACTCTCGATTAGTCTCATCCGTTATACAAAGTAAATGGTATATCTGACACGAGGGACATGACGGATTTTTTAAATCACAGGTGTCAATTATTTAAGTAGAGGTCCCCGTAAACTTACAGGTAAATATTTTGTAAGTAAAGCACTCGTCCTCCTTATAATACATCTATTAACAAGACCCAAAAGTTCTTGTAACTTTTCTTCTCCCAGTTTTTGCTGATCCTCTGTAGCATTTGCATCTCTTGATCGAAGAATAGAACTCTCAAAATGTCTCCGAAATTCAGCAACGGGACCCAAAAGTCCAGGGTTTACAAAATTGATGAGTGAGTAATATTCAAGCAAATCATTTTGAATTGGTGTTCCAGAAATTAATACTCTTCTAGAGCATTTAAGTCCAGTAAGGGCTCGGTAAGTTTGGTTGTCACTGTTTTTAAGACGATGGCCCTAAAAATTATTATATTGAAAAATGTTCAAGAAATTAAAGAAGTCGAGCAGAAAAATTTAAAAAATTGTCCGCAAAAAAGTTGCGGACATTTACAACTTTTATAAGATTTCTCTAAATTCAACAAAAAAATCACAAACCTCATCACAAATAACCAGTCCAATTTCCCTTTCATGAAGAATATCAGCATATAAACGAAAAGTCTCATAAGAGATAATAATTACTGGAGTGCCTATTCTTGTACCAATTTGTGACATAAATTGTTTTAAAGAATTAATAATTTCTTCTCTTTTTCCAGAATCGATTGGAAGGGAATTGACACGGCCATGTAACCATTTTGATATTTCTTTGTCCCAATTTTTGACTAAACTGCTTGGACAAACAATTATACAACGATTGATTGTTGGTTTTGCTTCTGGGCCTTGACGCTAAAAAATAAAAGTTATTAAAGCTTTATTTAAAAATAGTTATTATTCAGATGAGGGAGAGGACCTTAAAAGGAAGGTCTATGATCGTTTCTACACTCCGAATAATTCAGAATTTTAGAAAAAACAATAAAATTAACCAAAAGTGTCCACATCAAAGCAATACATTGCAAAGTCTTTCCCAGTCCCATTTCATCAGCCATTATACATCCATTAAAATTTTCTATTCGAGAACCAGTAACGCATTCATACATAAATTTAACACCTTCTCGTTGATGGGGTCTGAGAACAGTGCAAAGAAGGGGGTCGACAACCACATGGACTTGACGTTCAGTATCTACAATCTTTGAAAAATTTTTAAAAATAATTTAAAAATTTCAAAAATACTTTCATTTGTTCGTGTGCTGATAATTCTGGAGGTGTAAAAAGCACTAACGCACCTTCAGCATATGGATCATGTAAAGAACACCTTATTGCAGACATCCTCATTCCAAGGAAACGATTTGATGGAATACCTGAAAATGGGATAAAATAAAAACAAAAAATAGGAGACTACTGTTTAACATTGGTCTGGGATAAATCATGGGTTCAGAAAGAAATTATAAAGAAACCCCAAAATGGGGGACGGTCCCAGACGTGGTTAACAACTTGAAGGCTAAAATCTTCATTTAATCGTTTAATAAATCCTTTACATTTTCTTAAAAAATTCAAAAAACCTGTATATCCTCGAATAGGCACTCTGAATGCGCTTGAAAGCAATTTCTTGATTATATCCTCGTGTGAGAGAGATGAAAGGCATTCAATACCACCAGTATTAACTACATTGCTTCCAGAGATAGCTACAATTCCGTTTGAACCTTTTCTCAGTTTTTCCCCATCTTCTGACTCATTTTCTGCTTCAGAATCAATTAATCGCTTCATTTGTTGAAAACATGTTTGTTTGGCATTTCGACTTAGGGGAGTATTTTGGTTATTAATTGGAGTACCTAAAATTTTTTAAGAAGATTAAAATAAAATTAATAAAAAAACCTCCTCCAGAATGTCCAGGAATAGGAACACGAAAAGGAGTAGCAACAGGCGTTTTTAATACCAAATCTGGATCTAAATCTAATTTAATTTTTTCTTCTTCAACACGGAGTTTCTTCTTTTTCTTGTACATTGGAAAATAAAAAGATTTTAAAATATGTTCAGATAATTTTTGAGAAATATGGAAAAACTAAAAAACTAATTAAATTAAAACAAAAAAAAATCAATGGAAAAATTTATAATTTAGGAACAAAAAAAAGTCGAAAATTAATTTTTAATTTCCCGCAAAAAAAAGTTTGACATTTCGAAAATTCATTATGATACATTACAAAATGTCAATTTCCTAAATCTGTCAAAAGTGATTAGCCCAAACACAAAAGACCGAGTGGTTAAAAGACCGATTCCGGTAAATGTGGTTAAAAGACCGACTAGCCAAAAAGGGTTAAAAGATCAGGAGAAATGTGACCTATGTAGGAAATCAAATCTAAAAGTAAATTATAGAGACCAACAGTTGTTTATTATTATAACGCAAACTTTAAACACAGATTTTCTACGCTAAAAGCAAAAATTCTACATACTATATTTATTCATAATTTTCTAAAAATAAAATTTCTATCGACGTGATGAAACGATATTACGTCCATATTGTTGTGTGTGAGACGGAGATGTATTTATTGGTTGGGGGGAAGGATTGATTCCTGATTGGGAACCTTGACGATTCTGTCTTCCAACCCCGCTTAATTCTGCGAGTAAAGATGAAGAGACGAAAGTTTTGCATTGGCTGCATTGCCAAGCTATTTCCGAACAACTGAACTGAGATTTACATCTGAAAGTTGTGATAATTTATTTAAGAAAATGGGGGAAGGTAGAGTTTACTTTGTACAAATGTGTATAGTTAATTGTAAGGGAAATTGTTGAATCCCTTGAATATTTACAAGCTGTGCAAAACGATCCATCATTGCACTTTTTGCGCGTGTTGAAAGACATTCGTCTGAATTAAAAATAGATGTATTTATTGGTTGGGGGAAGGATTCATTTCCTCAACTTTACTACGAGGGATCTAGCCGATCCGATTCCTGAAAATGGGAATTGAATCCCTGGTAGGTACTTTTCGTTTATTAAAATATAAGATATGCCCTTAGGGCATAAAATCGTCCCTTATAATGAGGGTATATTAAATAGAGAGTATTTAGTATTGGGGGTGTCTTATAGAGAGGTTTGGATTTATTTAGACTTACACGTCTGTTGTTGCGTCATTTCCATAATATCCTCGGCTCTTTGGACCATTTGCATACACTGTTCAAGCAGTTCTTGTAATCGGCAGCGATCGAGCAGAGAAAGTCTTACAAAAACGCTTAACTGTGTTTGTGAACTAAGCAAAATTGTAGCGCATTTTCGCAGTAATCCATGAGATTCTAATTTGCAGGCAGCCATCAATATTGGGGCAATGTTTGATTCTGTTGAATTTTAGTAAAGTTTAATACAAGTATTCAACTCAAAAAACAATATTTAGTCAGAGCTGTTGCGCCCTTAAGTAGAGATCGGACCAAACAAATATTTGACGTTGGAAAATCAAATATTTGATCAAATTTTATTTGATTTTATTTGATCAAATATTTGTTTGATGAGTTTTGAAGAAAATCAAATTTTTTCAAATACTTTCAAATATCAAATAGTTTGATCAAATATTTGTTTGACCACTTTTGGAAAAAATCAAATTTTTTCAAATATTTTCAAATATCAAATAGTTTGATTTGATATTTGATTTTGCCGTTTGTCCGATCTCTACCCTTAAGGCTGATGAAGGTTTTATCTTATAATGAGAGGTAGTGATCGAGATTTTTAAAAAGCCTGGGCCTGTTCCTGGGTTTGATTTATTGACCTGGGCCGGATCCTGGACCTGTAGTCCAGGAAAAACCATGGAATGTCATAAGATGCCTGGGCCTGGACTCTGGGTACAGGAAAACCCCTGGCCTTGGTCCAGCCCAGCTCGATCACTGAGAGGTACCTTAAATTGGAGATACTGCTTGGCAGCTCCTCCCCTATCCACTGGACAACCAAATTTTATAAACGTGTATTAAATAGAGGTTATTCAATATTTGGTGTTTCTTATATTTAGGTCAACCTATAATCAAAAAATTCTTTACCAGTTATTCTTAATTGTGGCGGATATATAGCCATTAAAAAATATTTAAGTTCTTCATTCGAACAAGGGCAATAAATTAAATCATCATCCCCACCAACACCTATTCCATTACAAAATCTTTCTTGGAAAAGTGTAGACCAAGCGGCAACATAATCTTGAAAATAAAAATATATTTAATAGAAATATCAAAAATTATTTACATGGATTAACGTGATAAGCCCTTCCAGTCTTTGCACGGACAGAGGCAAAATTCAAATCACTTGGACTTAACATGTGCTCCATATCGATAGGAGGTTCGGGGAGTTCCTTAAATAATTTTATTTGATGAAAATTTTATTTTTTCTACTTCTGGTGCTGGTGATCCATGCATTCTCTCAAGAAGCAAAACCTTTACACGGTCCGAAAGACTCGAATATCTAGGCCCGCTTAAATCAAGTTTGTGTGTATTTGGACGAAGCTCTTTAAGGAGAAGTGCCAAAAGACGACTAAGTTGGTAACGGTCAGCAAGCCAAAGTTTTTCGAGGAAGGGCATTTTGTTGGCTATCAAAAAACATTCACAACGATGCAAAAGGCCGTCCATCTTTTTTTTAATTTTAAAAGGCTTTTTTAAGAAAGTACTTGGTAATCGAAAGCAATTGGCAGAAGCAAATGAACTGTTTGATCGTCCACTTCTTTGTAGGTTGGATGTATTGCAGAAAGTACTTCAAGTACGTGATCATATTGAACGTTAGCCAAAATTAATTCTCTATCGGGACATTCGACGCACCAAGAGCGTAAAACTGGTGACCAAACCTTTGAAATGAAAATACTGATCACATTTGTACTTTCCTTCCACATTAATTTAGAGTATAGTTTTTCTCTAATTTAATCCACTTCCTCCTAACTCAAAATAAGGTACTATGTTTTTTCAGCCACGTAGGTACTAAAATTTTTTTTAAAAATTCACCGAAACATAATGTTCATCAACATAAAGTCGTTTCCCTTCAACTAGCAGTGGCCGTGTCCTTTGACCATCTGGTCGAGTAAAATCAATGAAGAGATCAAGTGGAGAAGCTATTTGAGTTTGAATAGTTTGTCCCCCAACAACCAAACGATCAGTTCCACCTAACGGAGAATCGGGACGTAAAGAAGGGAGGGAAGGAGTAAAAGGTTGCTGAGGAATTCCTCCACTAATAGAGGTAAAAGTTTGACCAAATTGATGAGAAGAGGGATTTGGATGGGGTTGATGAGTAAATTGTTGAACAAAATGTTCAGGAACATTGCCTGTTGTATTGTAGTCTTGCAAGTAATTATTATCTCCCATCTCTCTAAATTAGTGTGAATATTAATTTGCTGTGAAGAAAATCTTTTAAAATAACCATATGTATAATTGGCAGGCTTAAATTAAGGGTACATTTTTAAATTTAGTTGACTACGAGGAGCTGCCTAAATGCTACCCATAAATGATGAATATACCTATTCTCGATTTCAATACAATTTTTAGCTTCATGGGTAAAATCAAGGTCAGATTATAATAGAGAACTTAAGTAAGATTACTAAATACTATTTTAGGATGTTTTTTAAAAGTCTACATAAAAATAAAAGAGGCTGAAACGACTTTCCTTTTAGTACATGCTTACAAAGCACAATCGATAAAGCATGCCATTCTCTCCCTTACTAGCTGTCACAAAAACAAATTTTTATTTAAAATTTGTAGGAGAGAACCTTCAGAAAAGGAAAAGATTAATTCGAGGGGAGAAGGTCTAGTTACCCAAAAAAAGTTATAAAATAACAAAATATTTTTATTAAAATTTTTACTAAATGAGGAAAAACAAAAAATAAATTTTTTTATAAATTCTCTGCTATTGTCTTTTGTTTAAATTCTCCTTTTTCTGAATAAGTATTTGTTCCCCTATATGTTTTCCCAGCTATATTTTTTGGCGAATAAAGTCCAATAATTATTGCGTCTGCCTCAAGAAGTGTTAAATCATTTTTAGATCCAAGAAAACGTTCACTCAATTCTTTAAAAAAATTTTTTTTAGAAGTTTGTTAATAAAAATAAAAAATATTTTTGAATAGTATTTAATCAGGAATTGAATCCGGAATCAAAATCACGAGGATTTTTCAGAGTTATTTGATTTTTCCTTTAAATGGTCGGCAATCGGAATCAAAAGACTTTAATTTTTTAGATTTTTTAATTAAAAAATTTTCAGATTTTCGTCCCCTTCTAGTATTAACTAGAGATCTGGATCCCGTCTGGATTTTTTCTGAATTCAGATCAAGAATCCTGTCCAGGTTACTAACCTAAATCCAGATCCAGGATTTTTGAAGATACCGATCTCCAGTATTAACCTCCAAACTCGTTACCCTTTAAAAACCCAACAGCCTTCCCCCAAAAATACATTAACCTTATTTTCCCCTAATTATTTAAACGTTATTTAACCCAACCGTTAATTTAATTTTTTAAATTACCTGTATCAAAAATTCTAATCAAAACATTTGAGCCAATAACATATTTTCTAAAAAATTAATTTTAAATTCATAATTTACATTTAAAAACTTACTCGGAATCCTTTTTAGGCCTTTTACAAACAGCATTAAATTTACATCCAAAATCAATATATAAATCATCGTTAACTCTATGAACTACACGTCCAACAACTTTTTGTCCATTAACAGAGCCAAGTTCAACAAATTTTGAGTAACGAAATAATTTTGCAAATAAAGACATTTTTGGAACTAAAATTAATTAGAGAAAAAATAAATAAATAATTAAAAATTATAATTTAAGGTATTTTAAACCAAAAATAAAAACAAAAAAAATAATTAAATAAATTTTTTAACAAATAAATTAAATAAAAAATAAATTAAAATAAAAGCCGAGAGATTTTGTTTCAAAAAAATAAATATCGAAAAAATTTGGCTCTTGTCCAGATTAGACGTCCAATCCTTTATATGTCCAATGAAAAGTTTATACACCCATTAAAAAGTTTATACGTCCAAACAAATTTTTAAAGTGCCCGGTTCTATGTGTTAAAACCTATGATGGTCTGGTAATATTTATACGTGCGTATCATAACTCTAGGTGCTTACACCCTAGAGTTATTGTTAGAAATTTCTATTCCCATAGATTTTTTAGGTAATATGTTACAGAACCGGGTGTTTAAATATGTGATTGGACGCATAAAATGTGATTGAACGTATAAACTTTTCATTGGACATATAAAGGTTGATTGGACGCCTAATCTGGACAAGAGCTGAAATTTAAAAAAAAATTAATTTTTTAATCAATCCATATCAGCAAAACATCCCTGACAAGTCAACAATAAATTCAAAAGTTGTATATACTCATCAGCCCCGTCTATCAAACATTTTTCTGTTTCCTAAAAATTTTTTCAATTAAAAATATTTTTCAATTTTTACCGCTATTTTAATAAATATTTTTGCTTTCTTAACTTCTTTTAAATTTTGATATCCCAAAATAATATCCAATAATTGGGTTAAATATTGAGTAACACTATACCCATTTTTAACAATTTTCTTTGCATAATGATTTACCTGGAAAAAATAAATTTTTAAATATTTTTAAAGAGAGGGAAGAAAACAACAAAATTTTATCCAAAAAATTAATGTCAATCCCTAAAATTTATATAAAAAAGTGTAATCCAATTCTTTTTGATGATGAAAAATATATGAGGAAATTTAACAATTTCGAATGAAAATGTTAAAAATTTCTCTCCTAAATTCCATAATAAACCAAAAATTTGGAAATTTATTTTAAAAACAATTAAGTCAAGGAAAATATTTGTGAAAAATTTTTATGAGTTTTAAGAATTTCGATTCTTGGTTAAACGGAAAGAAAAACCCTCAACGTCCAAATTAAAAAAAAATTTTTTAAATATTATCCTCATCAAATGTGAAACATTCTTTAGAGTTTTGAATCGGTTAAATGGAGAGAAAAACCCTCAACGTCCTTGCTCTTCCCTTAACGAGTCCCGTAATTAAAAAAATTTTTTTCTAATATTTTCCTCAACAAACCTTCCACCTCCTCTTCCTCATAATTTTCAAAAAAATAATTTTCAAACCTTTTCCTGATCCAAACATTTAACAACATCAATAAATTCTTCCATCAATTTCCCAGGTATTTCCCCAGACATTTCTTTAACATCTTCAACACTTATCGAATTATTAACAGCAGAACAAGCCATTGATTGCATTAAAGTAATTGATTTACGTAAATCTCCATTTGAAATTGAAACTAATTGTTCTATTGCATTTTCATCAAAATTAATTTCTTCAGCGATGGAAATGTTGAGCAAACTTAAAAAATAGAAAAAAATTATTTTTTAATGAATCTCTCCTTGATGCTTACTTATAAATGGCTTTGCGTCTTACGACAGAAAAAAATCAAATGAAAAGAAAAAAGGTTTGTCGGTTCTGGACCGAACCGAAGAACCGATGATTTTTCGGTTCAGGATATCCTAAGATTTTCCAAGAACTGACAACCCTATTCTCTACTCTTTTTCCATTATTTCGATTTGGGGTGCGATTTTTATATGAGCGTAACTTTAGATTCTTTATAATTTAATTGTTTTCCCGACCAAAAAATTAGAAATATCAAATTCTAAATTTTTCTTTAAAATATAAATCTTGCAAAAATTAATTTTTTTCTGCAAAATTTTAAAAATTCTATTTTTAATTTAAAATTCTATTTTTATTATAATTTAAAATTTTATTTATTTTATGCCTCAACAAATGAACAAACAATTGCTTATTAAATTTAAATTTTATTTTAAAAATTCTTAAAATAAATTCTCTCTCTAAATTATATTCTTAAGTATTCATTGATTATTAAACACGTGGAAAACGTGTGAAAGGACCAAAAAAAATTTTTTTGCCAAAAATTCATTCAAAAATTAAAAAAAAATTTTTATAAAATTCTTTTTCTCTGACTTTTAAATTAAACGGTTCTCTAATACACACAAGAGCCGAAAATATTAAAAAAATACAAACTATAAATTAAAAATTAAATAAAAATTCAAGCACAAGCTATAAAGTATTGCCTTATTTAAAAGCTTCAAAACTAAAAAATTCTCATAATCCAAAAAATTCCTCTTAATTTTAAAAATCCAAAAAATGGTTTTCAAATCAATTAAAAATTTAATTATATTTTATATTCCATTAATATTAATTTCTATTTTATTTATGTCGGGACCAATTGTGTGCCCAAAACTAAAAAAAGGAGAAGCCCCAAAAGTTAGCGGACCTAGTGGTTAAAAATACAAGAACAAACTGAATGGAATAAATTTAAAAAATGTTGGGGAAAATTTAAATAATTCTTAAATATTTTAAGACAAACTTTTCTTTCTGTCTTTTTTTAATTTTTGGTTTTCCTTTCTTACAATTAATATGTAATATTTATTAATTTTAAAATAAATTTCTATTTTCTGGTTTAAATTTAAAAAAATTAATTTGGACTAATAAAGAAAAAATTTTTCTTTACCATTTTTAGAAAAAAATTAAAAAAAAATTTGAAAAATATTTACCGTTCTTTTTGTGCCTCTTCAGAAAGCGGCTTAAATCGAAACTTTGCACATCTCGAAGTTAACGGTTCAATAATTCGAGTAACATAATTACAAATTAAAAAGAAACGAGTTGTTTGTGTCTCATTTTCCATTGTACGACGTAAAGCAGATTGGGCTGGCCCTAAAAAATAAAACAATTTTTGTCTTTTATTTTTAAATAAACAAACCTGTCATTGCATCAGCTTCGTCTAATATAACAATCTTTAATGGAGGAATTGAAGTTTTTGATGCAGAATAGGAAGAAGATACGGCGATTCTAGCAAATTCTTTAATCTTAAAAGAAATTAGAAGAAATAAATTTTTAATAATTTTATATAAAAAGACAATTGATCCCCCCATTTTAATTACAAAATAGGGTTGCCATTTTCGAGTCGGGACGGCGGTCGAGGCATTTTTTGACTTGTTTTTATCGGGCCGACCCGACCAAGTCTTTTTCGGGCCAAAATTCGATGCACGACTCGATCATTCGGACCGAACTGGGCCCCCAACCCTATTAAGAAATATTACAAAAAGTACCCAAAAATTTATATAAATAAAAATTTTAAGATTTGGGTCTCAAAATAGAACTTAAGAAAAATAAACTAACCCTATTTCTAACAACATTAATTCCTCTCTCATCAGAAGCATTTAATTCCAAAACTCTGTCTTTATAAAGCTGTGATGAAGGAAAAAGTTGACGACAAAGAGCTATTGCACAAGAAGTCTTTCCGGTTCCAGGAGGACCATAAAATAAAATATTTGGCAACTTTAACAAAAAAATTTTTAAATAAAAAATTCCTTTTAAATTTACATCAGCTCCATTCAAACATTTATTCAAAACAGCTACAACCTCTTCTTGACATAAAACTTGATCCACTTTTTTTGGACGACTAAAAAATTTAAAAATATTTTAAAATAAAAATTTTACAAACTATTTTTCAACCCATGGAATTGTTGATTTTTCTCCTTCACCTTCTAGTGTCAATTTTGCAGGAGTATTGTTGTTGCTGCTCTTCTTTCCTCCTCCAATCCGAGGACTTGCAGTAACAGAATTATTTTTAAAATAATCACTAATTGACATATCTAGAAAGTTTTAAAAAAATTATAGAAAAATTGGAGAATGTAAAAATAAAATTGATTTAATGTAAAAAACAAATATCAAAAAATATTTTAAAAATTAATTTTATAATAAAATTTTATTAAAATTTAATAAAAATAAAATTTTGTAGGATCATACAACTTAAAAAAAACAATAATAAATTGAGGGATTGCATTTGTAGTCACCACCATCTTTATACAAAATTAAAAAATAATCTCTCTTAATAAATTAACGCCATCTTGAATGATAAAATTTGGCAGTGCTAACAACTTGATCGATAGGTAAATCTAATGTTAAAAAATTTTTTAAACAAAATAAGTTTAAGAAAAAACCAGGCAAATCAGAAAACAAAAGAATAGCTTCATTAAAATTTGCTTTAATTAATTTTGAACGAAGTTGTAAAAGAATAGCGACGCCAATAAAACTTTAAAAAATTAACAACTTATTTAATAAAAAAATTAAAAATACAGGGGAAATTCAGAATCAGAAAGAAGAAGAGCATCCCAAAGATGAAATAATTTATGTAGAGGAAGGACATGTGCAAAACAAGTTAGAAACCAGCTGAAAAATAAAAATTTAAATTAAAATATTTTTTCGAATAAAAATTACGGAATAGCAAAAAGTTCAGGTTGGAAATCTAACGAAACCAAATGTGCAAATAATTCAGAATCACAAAATTCAATAACACGCATAAATTCAGCCAAATAACTTCGAATTACAATTGTATTGTCTTTGAGGAAGAATCCACGTAAATAACGGTCAATAAAAGCATTTAGACAACGAAAAGCTGTTGCTTTAAAAGAAATTTTTTTAATTAAAGGAAAAACCTTACATAAATCATTAAAATGTAAAATTAAAAAAGGAGCGCTTAAAGAGTCCAATCCTTGCCAATAAACAAATTCATCTTTTCTGCTCACAAGTAAAGCTTTAAGGAGTATTTTTAATTGATGATGGGCTAGAGGGGAAGACATCTAAAAAATTAAAAAAAATTTTTAAAATTTTTTAAGATTAAAACAAAACCAATTCGTCATATTGATGACATCGAGGAATATCAACTTGAAGTTGTCTGTCAGATATATGTTCAGAAAAAGTGTCCAAAGAATAAAAACTCTGCCATAAATAATCGTCAAAATTCTCTCCGTTTTTATTAAAAGGCAAAACACCCAAAATTGCAGCCCAAACAGCGCCACGATAAACGGGAGGGATGTCGTGACAACTCTCAGCACGCAATAATTCTGATTTGCTAGGCCAAGCAGCAAGCAAATGGCGAAATAAACGCATTCTTTGGTACTAAAAATAGAATAAATATAAAATCGAATTTTTGATGGACAGAATTAAGAATCAAAATAAACTGTAGCCCTACAGGTACACCGTAACGTACGCAGGCCCAACGTACCGTAGTACTATAACTTCGTTCAAAATGGTCAAATCCAGAACGCTTTGGTATGGTTCGATTCAAAAGTCGAGGTGAACCGAAACATATCAGGGCGTCCCGGATTCGACCATTTTGAACAGTTAATTGAATTTTATGAACAGTTAATTAAATTTATTTAAAAAACTCTCGATAAGTTGGGCTCGCGGTACGTTGGCCTGCTCCCTTAGCCCCTACCCAGACTCCGATGACCAAAATAACCCAGCCAAAGAATTGAAAAACTATCCAAGAACAAAAACCTGATATTCAATATCCCTCTCTTTAACAAGTAATGATTGTATTCCACAAGTTTCTTCCTCTTCTCTAAAACTTTTAGAATCATTTGTTGTATTTCCTCCATTGCTAATTTCTTCTTGTTCTCTTTTAAATTCTAATGTAATAAAACGTTTTGAGTAATTTAAATCGTTTAAACGCTAAAACATTTAATTTTATTCATTAATCTTAAAAAGTAAAAAAACCTGAATTAAATTTTTCATAGGCAATTCAAATATACAAACAGGCAAAATACTCCTGTCAGTCTCATTTATCCCAAACATGTGAAAGTTTTCAATAATAAGACTAAATATAAATAAAAGACCAAAATATTTTTTCAAAAAAACCTTGGTAAAGTCAAAATAGGTGGTTGTGTTTTAATTAATCCTTTACGTAATAATATTGTTTCAAAACTGCTTCCACACAATTTCCAAAGAAAGAAAAGTTCATTTAACACTTTTTGGTTAAAACCAAACCTTTCAAATTGATTTTCGTTTTTTATACGTTCTGAAATTTTTTAAATTAAAAAAAACATTTTAAATTAAAAAACCTTTAATTTGGTCAATTTCCTCATCCAAATCAACAAAGCTATTTGTCTTGTCATTTTCTTCATTCTCACTAATATTAGCATCAATTGCGGCCTTTTTAAGCATTTTCAATAAATTTGTAGAATTTGGCCTTTTAGAAGGTTGAATATTTAAACAATTTAGAATAATTTGATAGACTGGATTTAAAGAATTTTGTCTTTTGGCAAATGCAGGGCAAACATTTTTTATTTTATTTAAAAGATGAGGAAGAATAGAGCCCTTATTTTCTGACAATTTTTATTAATAAATCAATTAGAGAATAAAAAACCTTTAACAAATAAAGTTGCCAAAACGTCGGAAATTTGACGTCGAGCTAAAAATTGCTTTTAGAAAAAATTTTAAAATTTAAAAAAATTTACAAAAAACTTCAGAAAATCTCCATCCAGTAAATAATTCAATCAATAAAATTCCAAAGGACCAAATATCCACACAAAAATAGTTTGATTGATCCAATCCTTGTGGAAGTAAGTTTAACAAAAATTCAGGCGACAAATACAAGGGAAATTCATTGGAAGATAGAAGTTTGTGGTAATAAATGCCAGAAATAAAACAAAGGCCAAATTGAGAAAGTTTTACATGAATTTTCTGAGAATTAAAGAAAATTCAAAATTAATTCAAAATTACCTCATTCTCCTTTTTGGGCACAACATATAATTTATCTAAACTTAAGGATCCTATTGCAAAACAATTTTTATGACAAAATTCCAAAGCTGAACAAACTTGAATTGACACAGAAAAAACCGATTGTAAATTTTGATTACCTAATCTAAAAATAAAAAAAATACTAAAAAATAAAAAAAGAATACTTGTTATTTAAAAATCCATCATCTCGAAAATAAGGGTCAGAATAATGTTCAGAAAGAAGTGCATATCCGTTGGGTACTAAAAAATAGAAATTAGATGGGTGACTTAGTTAAATGAAGATTTATCAGGATTTTAAGTGTTGACAAAAAACAAACTAAACTTAAAAGTATCAATTAGAGACGTGACTGAAACGAGATCTCGATCGAAAATCTCGGTTATCGAGATCTCGATTCTCGTACGACACTCTCAGTCCGGTCTCTAGTGTCAATAATTATTAACCACGGAAATTAACTAAAATTCAAAAAAAAATGTCCTAAATATCAAAGGTAATACGGAACTTTTCAAAAATCTACTCTTCAAAAAGGCACACATTCTAATGGGATGCATCTCCCAACCCAGGCAAAGAATATTTTATTATCATAAATTAAAAAAAATTACTTGTTAAACACCTGCTAAATTCAAAATATTTACACAAATTATCATGTTCAAGTCCAGTTATTCTAGCAAATCTACCCAACATATAAGTGTAAATATTTGATGGATCAGGCAATTCGTTGTTGTTGTCGTTTGAAGGACTGTTTGCACGGACATCAATTTCATCTCCAATTTTAAGTCGAATTATTGTTGCAGCTAATTTCATTTAATATAATACTGTTCCAAAAATTTTTTTTACATTGTTAACAGCTGAATTTTAATAAATACAAGGGTCAGTTTTAAAAAATGGGTACGGCCCCACAGCGGGTTGGGTACAGCCCAACTTGTCGTATGAAATTGTCTCATGACAATCCCCTCACCTCAGAACCTACGACCAATTTTTATGCTAATTAAAATCCCCAATAGAAAAAGGTATGAACGGCAAAATGTAAGTTTGAAATTAAACAAATATTTTTTAAAAACATAAAAGGCAGTCAAATTTATAAGTAAATAAATGTATAGACATTAAATAAATTAAATGAGAATTTTAAGTCAAATATCACTAAAATCACATTGAACACTGACTCCTGGATGATGATTAGCAGTATAAGCAGGTACAACCGGTTTTGCTTCAAGTTCCTAAAATTTACAACTTTATGATAAATTAAATTGTAATAAATCGGGAATACACGTACCTCCCAAGAAAAAAAAAAAATGAAAAGTTCTAATTTGCCTTACTTTTCAGTTCAATCCGCCTTATTTAAAAATAATCAAACCATTAATTGCTCCATTATACGGTCAATAGTAACAATGTAGTTTTTTTTATCAAAGTGGGCTAGTTGCAGTTCCATTGAAAGTGCAGACTTGCCAGTGTTAGCAGTAAAATCGACAAAACCTAGATTCAAACCGACAAGACCCTCAGGACTCCAGACAGCCGCTCCTGAATCGCCTCCTGTTGATTTGATAGTCCCTAACAAGAAAGGACCATGAACGACGCCTTTAATTTCAAGATAAGAAATGTATATACATTTAAAAGGTCATATAAACCTTTTTCCAGAAAAGTTTGTAACTCATCAGCGTGTATAACACCCTCACAGTAAGAAAGAGTGTTAAAGTCATTTCCATATCCATAGTAACCAACAGGCAAACTTCTAAACGGAGGCTTGCAATAAAACGGCTTATGGTTGTTTATTTCTTTATCGGTCTTTAACAATATAAAATCCAGCTTTTTGTTGATGCTTTTAACTGTGGCAATGAAAAATTGTTTGTTGTTAATGCCAGATTTGGAATCATGTCGATAAATTTTTAATGAATTTCCAATTTTCCAGGTTTCATGATTGTGGTAAAACGTGACAAAATAATGCTTGGTTATCGACGTTACACATGACTTTCTGTGATTAGACTCCATAATAAAGAAAAGGTACTCAGACAATTCGTCAAATTTAGGCAAATCACCTAAAATCACCCTGATAGAGAATATTCATTAAAACAAAAAATTACCATGCACATATTTATAAGGTTTGACAAGTTTACGAGTGTCTAAAATAAATTTACTTAGTTTAGTGCAAACACAAGTATCAAAAAATTTAGTCAAAAAGACGTAAAAGCTCAACAAATTCAAATCTTAAAAAACTAAAAAACTAACCAGGTAACGCTTTAACAATCGGAGGAATCTGTTGTTGATAAATTAATTGAAAGTCTTTCCCCGTCCAGCCGCCATAAGGTTCCGTAAAAACCATTTTCTTATCATCAAATCTAAATAAGTTGAAACGTATTTAAATTATCTTTAATAATCATACGGAACAACGCAGTTCTCTCCAATACTTGGAATGGAACACTCCAAGCCCCAACATCCAGGGAAAACACGCTCAAGCGAAGAGAATGCCAAAGTGCCATCAGGGGAGAGTTGAATACCCCGCGGCTTTTTTGTAATTTGGTCAGTCACAGAAATAACAACGGGAGGAATGGGAGGAATCTTTTGTTTATAAATTAATTGAAAGTCTTTCCCCGTCCAGCCGCCAGAAGGTGCCGTAAAAACCATTTTCTTATCATTAAATCTAAATAAGTTGACATGTATTTAAATTATCTTTAATAATCATACGGAACAACGAAATTGTCGCCAATACTTGGAATGGAATACTTCAAGCCCGAACATCCAGGAAAAACTTGCTCGAGCGAAGAGAGTGCCAAAGTCCCATAAGGGGAGAGTTGAATACTCCACGTCTTTTTTGTAATTTGGTCAGTCACAGAAATGACAACCTTTTTTTGATAAATTAATTGAAAGTCTTTCCCCGTCCAGCCGCCAGAAGGTGCCGTAAAAACCATTTTCTTATCATTAAATCTAAATAAGTTGACATGTATTTAAATTATCTTTAATAATCATACGGAACAACGCAATTGTCGCCAATATTTGGAATGGAATACTCCAAGCCCCAACATCCAGGAAAAACATACTCAAGCGAAGAGAAGGCTAAAGTCCCATCAGATGAGAGTTGAATCCCCTTAGTCTCTTTTGTTGTTTGGTCAGTTACAAGAACAAACTGAAAAAAGATTTAAAGAATTCCCAAATTTTTTAAGTGAGACTTTATCGTTATTTTTGTTAGACACGAATATATCCCTTATCCTTCGAAGTCTCCTTACAGGCATCTTATTTTCTTCATTTTCTTCAGAATCATGAGGGATTCTTCCATTATCAACTTTATTCACTTCACTGCCCATTTTTGAAAATTTAAATCCTAAATTTGTAAAATAATTTTTTCAAAAAAAAAAATAAAAGCAGACAAATTATAAATAAAAAATCAACGCCGCTACAAACTAGCAAAAAAGAAATAGGGGTAAAGCCCACTTAGTCGCGACCACCTAGTCGCCAGCCCACTTAGTCGCCGGCCACTTAGTCGCGAAGTGTCCTTTTTTCAGGTCGCTTAAAACTTAAGCCAAGACTGCGCAAGCCGATTTTTAAAAGTCAGTTTTCATCAAAATTTATTAAATATAAAACATTCTAACAAATCTGTTGTTGGAACAACTTCCTCTGCTGTCGGAACAACCTTCCCTATTTGTTGGAATATCATCCCCGTTGATGTCCCCCGTTATTTGTAGTAGTCTGTGGGTTTTATGTCGATTTCTGTTTGTGGGTTTCGATACACAACACTTACAAATACTCGATAGCTTTTTAGCTACTTCGCGACTAAGTGGTCGCGACTAAGTGTCCGTGTCCATTAAAAAATTTCTTAAATTTTTTGCCCGCCAATTCTCTTATTTTTATACACTATTTCTTTTCAGTTTTAATTACATAATGCCAAACTAAATAAAAATTTTCTAAAAATTTTTCTTCATAAATTTTTTTATTCGACAATGGAGGCTTCTGATTTATTATTTATCAATGAATCGTTTCGTCTAGCACAAGAAGCTTATGATCTACAAGAAGTTCCTGTTGGTTGTGTTTTTGTTTTTGATGGTTTAATTATTGGAAGGGGACATAATGAAGTGAACAAGTAAATATATTTTGAAATCTTAATTTAAATTTTAGAACAAAAAATCCTACTAGACATGCTGAATTTGTTGCTATGGATCAAGCAAATGATTGGTGTTGTCAAAATGGAACAGATTTTCAAGAGGTTATTTAATTTTTGACTTTGTTAAGTTTAGGCGTCCCACCAGTTTTTGCTTTACAACGATAACTTCTAACAAGGAGATATATCGAACTATAACCAAGAATTTCTATTTTTTGCACCATTGTGTAGAGCTGGGTCGATAACCTATTGCTAGTTTTTGGCTTTTTTGGCCCTGACCTCCATTTCGAAAAGTTATAAGGAAAAGTTAACGTGTTTAAAAATAATTTCAATGTCCTTATTCAACGTATAAATAATTTAGGGAATGCAAAAATTTGAGTAGAATCGCCTTTTTGTTTAAAAAATTTTAAAATTTTTCTCTTCAGGTTATGGAACAAACAACCGTTTATGTTAGTTTAGAGCCTTGTATCATGTGTTCAAGTGCCCTTTATCAATTAAAAATTAAAAGACTTTTATTTGGGGCAAAAAATCTTCGTTTTGGTGGAATTTTAAGTGTTGCTAGTAATAAAGATTATGGACATGAACACGAAATTGAGGTTTTTCTGGATCGTTTTTAGGTTTTATTTTTAAATTTTTCTTAGTTAGTACCAGAAGTGTGTACAGAAAAATCAATTTCTTTATTGAAAAAATTTTATGATAGAGAAAATCCTTTTGCTCCTCTTGATAAAAGAAAAGTTAAAATGGAAATTTTGTAGTTTTATAAATTTATTTTAAGTTAGATAAATTTTTTATTTGTTTATTTTTAATAAATATTTATTTTAGTTTTTTTTCATATTAAAAAGTTTTTTTCTTTTTTATATTTTTTCTATTTTTTGCTCATATTTTTAAATTTTTTTTTCAGAATTTTTCGAATATATTTTAAAACAATTTGCATTTTTATAATATTATAATGAAGACTAAACGACAAAAAGAGAACATTCCACACGAATCTTGTGCAGTTAAAAAGTCAAAAACGAGCAAAGTTTGTTTTAATTTTTAAAAAATTAAATAGCAATTTGATTCCAAAGAAATTATTTTCAGAGAAATGATGACGTTAATTTAATCACTCAATTGGACAATATTTATTTGGTTAAGCATTCTTCCGTCATTGTAGACTTTTGGAATATGTCTATCTCAATTGACCCAAAATCTCCAACTGGTATTTATTTTGATTCATTTCCAGTGTTGGGTATTGGGCATTTTCTGGCTCCGGCTCCATATTTTTAAAATTTTAGCTACGGTTCAGGCCTGGGCTTGCTCTGGAGCTGGCTTCCTGAGCCATACCCGGCACTTCATTTTTCTTTAAAATCTATTTTTTTCTTTTCAGAAGCATTTAATTCACTTAATTCTCTCAAACTTGTTGGTCCATTTCGTTATTTAAATGACTTTTATTCAAAATCAAAAGAAAACAAAAACAATAATTATTTACTTGTTGATGTGGAGGGAGAGCTCAGATCTCAGTCTAGGTTTTCTACCAAGCAAATTCTAGCCTAAGTTTTATTCCAACCAAAAAACACTTCAATCAATTAATAAATTTTATTTCCAATTTAAAAAAGCACAGCGTCAAAACAGCAAAGAACAGTTCAAGAGAAGATCGCCAAACCCCAGAATGAAAGCTAGAAGAGAAGCTAAAACACAGAAAGAAGCCAATTGGGGTTTGGAAGGGGAGATTATATAGGCCAGAAAAATAGGCGGGTAGACAGAAAAATATTTCGATCATTAAAGGCATAATAGGAACGATTAAATAAAATGCACATGTTTTGAATAATACAAAAGAGTGGAAAATTAAGTTAAGTTTTAGAACAAAAGAGCTAAAAATGTAAATAGGTTTTGAATAGATGTTTACAGCAAAAATGGTTTTTTAGAAAAAGTCCGAAAAAGGAATTTGCAATAAGTGATGATTAATTCAGAAATAAATTAAAATTATAAAAATATATTTATTTTATTTTCCTCATCCTTAGTCGCTTCGCGACATTCCCGCCGGCGTCTAAAGTTTCATCCTCAATTTCTTTTTTCCATCTTTCAAGCACTTTCTTTCTTTTCTTCATCTTCGGCACTTCATCCATTACACTTTTTCTGCTCTCTTTCAATGCATGTGCCCAGCCATCCATAACATTAACAAAGATGGCGAGAAAGGTCCAACTGGGGTTGATCGCAAAAACGGTGGCGAAAAGCGTTAAAGAAAGCCAAGGGGGTGTTTTCAGAGTCCATTCTTTTTCCATTCTTTCACTCGTTCTACATTTCCAAAGTTTATTGGTTGCGCGAATAAACATCCTCAAAGCGTCTCTAGCGCCATCCAGAATCATAGCAAAAGCGGCAAAGACAATCATGAGTATTTTTATATCCATCCATGGGTAGCAACAGGCATAGAAATCTGGTGGTTCCAGGGTTTCTAGTTTTAGGCATTTTTTACGGCAAATGCGAACTTCACGCTTGAGCAGACCATTTTTGACCAGCAATTCTTTATTAGTCTTTTGAAGGGCATTGACTCGGAGTCGAGTCTGTTTCAGAATTCCTTTTCCATTATCAATCTTTTTCGGATTAGAATCGCCAATCTTCCTCGAATTAGCTTCATCTAACAGAACTTCCAATCGCTTAGCTTTTTTGGATTCCTTCTCGGATTTTCTGCGTCCCAACATCAGCTCGGACATCAATTTCACTATCTTTCTATCTTTCTCTTGGAGAGCACTTGTCTTTTCATCTAACAATTTTTCAGTCTCAAACATTCTAGCCTGCTTTGAACAATAATTATTCCTCCTCCGCGTAGATTCCAACATTTGGAGTTTTGACACACTTGAATAGCAAACCATAAGGTGGTGCTTTCCTCGACATTTAATACATCGGCGATTATTCGTGCAATCAAAGGTTCGATGACCATCACTCAGGCAGTTTAGGCAACGGTTCTGCTCTAGTAACTTGTATTTCCTCGCCTTTGGACTGCCATACTTAGTACAATGGCTTGGAGGGTGGTTCCCTCTACATAACATGCACTTTAGGCAACGGTTCTGGTCCAGCAAACGATCCTTCTTGGCCTGAAGGTTGTTATGTTTCTGGCATTTGCTTTGTAGATGGGTTCCTTTGCACAATGAACAAAAGGGTTTCCTCAGTTGACTTGTAACCGGAAATGAACTGGTTTGCTCAGGGTTTGGCAGTGGGCGTCTGTCCCTTTGTGGGTGCCAATCAGGTTCATTATTAACGCTACATTTCTGGACCTCTTCTTTGACTGAAATAAGTAGGTCAAGCTCTTTCCTCCACTTTTCGACATTCCAAGTTTGCTCGGCTACTCGTTCCTTTTCGATCAGTTTGGAAAGTATTCCTCTAGGCAATTTTTCCTTTATAGTGAAAACAATCCAAGAGTCATCGCTAATTCCGTAATCAGTCAATTGTCGGCATACTCTTTCAATTATGTCCAAAAATTTACGCAATCCCATCACAGAATCATTAGCATGGGGCAAGTGGTAGAGCTCTGACTGTAGCGACTCCTTGAGCGCACGTTTATCTCCATATCTCGATTTTAACAGCTTCACAACGCGTGGGTAGTTTTCATTCGTAGGTAAGTATCCAGCCACCACATTCTGTACGGGCCTGTCCAACAGAGAGAGCAAATAACTCATTTTTACAACATTGTCATAGCTGGGCTCATTATCCACAGTTGACTCGAAAAGTTGCCAAAAGGTAGGCCAGTCTCTGGTTTCTCCCGAAAAATGCGGTAAATGCAAGGGAGGGAGCTTCGCACGTGGTTGCGCCATAAAGGGCTGTTGCAACTGTACTGTAGGCGGCTGCGGCCTTTGATTTCCTTGTGCCCTCCGATTTTGGTTTCCAAGGTCATTGGTTCGGTTATCTGACACTTCGCTCATTGCGGATTGGCGCGAACTGGTTCTAGATTGGCCAAGATCCTCCATGGTTTGCTCAATTAGCACAACAACTTGTCGGGCAAATTCGCATTGATCCACAAAATGGCGTTGAGCTAACGGTACTTCCTGGCCTTCCTCTCTTTCCATACCAGCACCTCGGGGCGGAAAATCGAGGTATAGCGATTCCTCAGCCATTTTCTGCGGCCCTTCTAAGCTTGCCACATAATCACTCCATTGAGCATCCAATTCCTCAATTCTTACAATAGTGGTCTCAATATGGGCTTTTTCCAGCTTCAGCTTTCTGCGAGTGTCCTCATCATTTTCCTCAGCAATAATTCGATTGGCCTCGGCAGTATGCTCTTGAATGGTTTTCAAGGCAGCGTTCAGGTTTCGTCTAATTCTTCCGGACATTTGCCTAGCACTTCCCAACCAAATTTAGAACACAAGTAGCAAATTGTAGGCGGCCTGGTTCCCGGCCGTTGCACCAAAAAAAAATATGTGGAGGGAGAGCTCAGATCTCAGTCTAGGTTTTCTACCAAGCAAATTCTAGCCTAAGTTTTATTCCAACCAAAAAACACTTCAATCAATTAATAAATTTTATTTCCAATTTAAAAAAGCACAGCGTCAAAACAGCAAAGAACAGTTCAAGAGAAGATCGCCAAACCCCAGAATGAAAGCTAGAAGAGAAGCTAAAACACAGAAAGAAGCCAATTGGGGTTTGGAAGGGGAGATTATATAGGCCAGAAAAATAGGCGGGTAGACAGAAAAATATTTCGATCATTAAAGGCATAATAGGAACGATTAAATAAAATGCACATGTTTTGAATAATACAAAAGAGTGGAAAATTAAGTTAAGTTTTAGAACAAAAGAGCTAAAAATGTAAATAGGTTTTGAATAGATGTTTACAGCAAAAATGGTTTTTTAGAAAAAGTCCGAAAAAGGAATTTGCAATAAGTGATGATTAATTCAGAAATAAATTAAAATTATAAAAATATATTTATTTTATTTTCCTCATCCTTAGTCGCTTCGCGACAGTTGACCGTTTCTCTACCGACTTACCAGAAATGCAAACTTTTGCAATTTATAAAGGAGGCCGTTTTTGTTTTTGGCGTGATTTGCCTAATGAAGAGCCTAATTTAATTATTAATATTTCAAATAATTCACCAAATTTTCCAACTTTTACAATTGCTGGAAATGGTGATCCCCTCTCTGCTTTGACTTTTTTGGCTTGTTTGAAAAAAAAATTTGAAAATATTTTTAAAAAAATTGAAAATCAATCAGAAATTATGTCAAAATGGAAGGTTTATCAACAAAAGAAATTTTTGGAAGAATTGAGGAAAAATAGGAAAGAAATTACGGTTTGGAAGTTTTTTTTGTAAATGATTAATTTTAAATTTTTAAAGGTTGGAGAACCTCTACATGGATTGGGAATTAAAGTGGAAATTGTTGGGGATTGTGGATATAGGCCTGTTACAGAAAATACAAGTTTGTTTTTTGTTTTATCATTTTTTGAATTAAAATTAAGTATTTTATTAAGACTTCTAAAATGACTCGAATCGGTCCAAAAGTATTTTTAATTAAAATTAGGTCAAGGTAGCCTCCAAAAATAATTAAATTATTGTTAATATTCACGTTTACAGACTTTTCCTTCCTTCTCACAAGGGGGAACTCACGAACTGTCAGTCAAAACTCTGTACTTTTTTTGGTACCAATCGATAGAGCATCATCGATTTACTCTTGCAGATTTCTGGCTTTTTTGGATAGGAATATGAAACTAAAAAGTTATGGGGTTTTAAAGTCTATCGATTGGTACAAAAAAAATACAAAGTTTTGACTGACAGTTCGTGATTTCTCCTTCTCAAGTTTTTTGCAGCGACTGATTTTAAAAATGAAATTAAGGAAGTCTGACCAATGTACTACATTTTAAGTAAAAACATGGGGAGGAAAAAGGGGGCCTGTAAACTTCAATATTACCAAATTATTTTTTAATTTTTTCTGACGTTTATTTTTCATTCTGCACCTAATTTAATTAAAAATACTCAACATTCTTAAGAAAATAAATTTATTTTTCAAAAATTTAATTTAAAAAAATTTAAGAAAAATTACGAAATGATTTAATTGATTTTGCAACAACAAAAGATGAGACACACAAAGCAAAATTAAAACAACAATTATTACAAATTTATACTTACGTTACGGTTTCTTTGAATTTTTTATTAAAAAATTTCCTTTTTTTAAAAAAAGATTGCAAACGACGAAATGGATTTTGGAATGGGACTTGAATTTGGGCATAATCTGTTTATTTCAAATTATGAGTGTTTTGATGCAATGACTAAAAGTGTTTTGGAAGTTACTTATAAATTGTTAAAAAGGGAAGTTTTTGCTAAAATTTTGAAAGAACAATGGGAAAATGGAAGAAGAATTAATGAGAATAAGAAGGTTATTTAAATGAATTTTCTAGGGTTGTTGGCAACCGGTTAATAACCGGTGCTCCCGGTTTTCGGTTAATCCAAATTTTAAAAACCCGGTTTTCGGTTTTGAGTTTTAGGCAAATACCGATTTTATTTAGGGTGAATTTTTAATAAAATCACCTATTTTCAAAAATTTCGGTTTATAAAATTTTCTAAAAACGGTTAATTTTTGACAAAAAATTTCAAAAATTCCGGTTTTAAAACCGGTCGCCAACAACTTTAATATTTACAATTAATTTAATTTTACACATAAGGGTACACTTAAGAGTTTTTGGACTTTTGGGGCTCCCTTATAATTTTCCTCCATTTTTACGGGAAATTTATTTCGATTTTTTGATTATTCTTCCAAAAAAAGCTTTCTTTAACCTATTTAAATTGGGAAGCATTTTTCTTCTTGTGTATGCCTTTAATTATTTTAATGAGAAATTTTCTCATATTTTTTTGATTATTACATAATCTCCTCTCAATTTGTTTAATTTATTTTGATCTCTATTTAAATAAAATCTCCAATATTTAAATTAATTTATTTTACTTGCCGAGTAAATAGGAAAGTTAAATACGAGACGACGGCTCACGTCTAATTTTACTAATTTTTAAATTTTATGAAAGTCCTTAACTTTCATTCCCTTCCCCTTCTAAAACAAGAAAACTTTAAAAATTAATTTTATAATAATTTTTAAATTTAAACAAAATATCGTGAAAGAGTTAAATTTTGTCTTTTTTCTTTTTTAGTATTAATTCCATCTAAAAATGACCACCAAATATTATTTTCTGTTTTTGTTTCTTCTTTTAAATTAATTTTTTTAATCCAAATAAAAATTATATAACTTGTAATTGCCGCAATTAATATGGAAATTAATCTGAAAAAAATAAATTTTATTTAATTATTTAAATAAAAAATTTATTTTTATAGGCCTAGTTGGGTCTCTTGTGAGTTATAAAGTCACCTAAATTTTTATTTCCTTGTGCCTTTGTTGCAAAGTTTAAGAACGAGTTAAAAATAAAATATTGAAGTATTGGGAAAATTAAGGGCTGACTATTTTTTATATTAAGGGAAAATGAAAGGTAGACTGACTAGCGAAGGAAGGAGGAAATAATAAAAATATAAAAAATATCCCGCACCTCCTTTCAGATAGAGCCGAATTTTCTACGTTTAAAGGGGGTCTAAAATGCTCTCCCGTTTCAATTCATTTAAAAACACCAAAAAATCTCTCTTCTCTAATTTAAAAAATAAATTCTCCTTCGTAAACTTACCCACAACAAACACAAACAATAAACATTTCAGTTAAAGAAATACACCATAACCAATTATTTTCTTCTTCATTTAAAATTTCTTTTTGTTTATTACAATTATTTTCAAAAATTAAAGAAGGAATATTTCTTTTATTTCTATTTAATTTAATTAAAGTTTTTAATATTTCTATTTCCTCCAATATTCCATTATTATTATTTTCATCATTTCTTCGTTGTCTAGTTAATTCTTTTTTTAATTTTAAAAATTATTTTTAACCCAAAAAAACCTGAACAATTTGTAATAAAAGAACAATGTTTGGACATACAAATACGCAAATTACAAAAAATATTTACTTCATTACTTAAAAAAAGTTAAGAATAAAAATGTTGACTTATTCGGGTACCCACCCCTTTTAGCACCTCTAGGAACAGAGATAAGTAGTCTCGATCCAGTCTAGATTTTTCCTGGATCCAGATCAAGAATCTTGTCCAGGTTACTAACCTACCTAAATCCAGATCCAGGATTTTTTTAAATACCGATTTATACTACCAAACCGGATTTTTTCGCCGAAACTCGATCCGACGTTTCTCAACCCGGCCCACCCCCTCTAGGAACACGTCTTAACTTGTTCCATTATATCCTTCTACTTGGTGAAATCCTATGAAGGTAGGGGTTGGCAGATCCTGAAAAATCTTCGGATATCGATATCTGCCAACCCTGTATAAACCTTTCCATTAAAGACAATTTAATTACCTTGTCGGAAAGGCCCAAGCTTTTATTCTATTAATAAATACAACTTCTTCCTGAGTTTCTACTCTTTCAAAAGCTCCCCAAATATTTCCTTTAAATTAAAGGGAAATTTTGGGATAATTTTGAATTCAAACGGACCTTTAGGTTGTAAAGAACACCCCCTTTCATCACTTAATTCCAAAGAAGAATTTGAGTCAGTAGCCCAACACCGACCGATTTGTGAATCGCTAACTGGTTTTTGGATACGTACAAGATATGACTTGAAATTGAAAATTTTTTTTGGAATTAAGAAAATTTTTTTTTAACTTTTGAAAATTTTCTTAAAAAATTTCTTTAAAAAATTTTTAAAATTTCAAAAAAAATTTCGAAAAAAATTCAAAAAATTTTTGGAAATTTTCAAAATTTTCAAAAAAATTTTTTAAAAATTTTTGAAATTTTTCAAAAAAAAAATTTTTACAATCGGATCCCCAATATTTAAAGAAGCCCCAACAGGCATTAAATTATTAGAATCCAAAGAAAATTCTTCAAAATTATGTCCAGATTTTATTTCTACAGAATATTTTAATTCAGAATTTTTATTAATTATTGTCGGTTCATCCAATGAAGGGATTTGTTGTTGTTGTGTGGGATTTAATGAAGAGGTAGAGGAAGTAAAATATTCTTTTGGTTTTGAACTGAAAATTAAGGAGGAATTTTTAAAGTAAAATTATAAATATTTCTCTAGTGAAAAGAAAGTGTTCTGGCTGGGGATTAAGACTTGGGAATTGGCGGAACTTCGAGATAAATATCTCAAAGACTTTCGATCCCCCCACATTTTCTTATCTCAACTTCCCCGACATCATTTTAAACTCCCCTAGAAAGTCTTCCATTAAATTCTCAACAATTTCCAATTCTCTCCCTTTCTACACCTAAATTTTTTAAACAATTTAAACCTCAATTCATTTAAATCAACATTAATAGCTTCATTTTCTTCTCCAAAAGCTATAGTAGTTGTAGTAAAAGAAGAACTTTTTGTAGTTAATAAAGGGGGAGGTAAAGGGGTAATTGTTGTTGTACTTGTATTTGTTTGAGGATTTATTAAAGGACTTGAAGGAATACATGTAAGCAAATATTTTCTTTAAAATGAATTTTTTATTTATTTTTTTTTATGATTTCTTTCTTAAGGCTCTTATTTTTTCAATGATTCTATTCAGAAAATATATTTTTCTCATTGACTATAAATGCAAGCTTTAAGTGGAACCGTTAAGCGAGTCGTGTGGTGTATTGGTTAGCGTTCTTGGCTGGTCTCGATTTTTAACTAGGTTCGATACCCTTTGGGGTCTTTTAATTTTTCTTGGTTTAATTAACAATTAAATTTCTTTTCTACAAATTCTTAAAAAAAATTTTAAATTTTTACCCCAAACTTAAACTTATAAAATAAATTTACTTATCACTAGCTTGTAAAAACCCAATATTTTCTTGTATAATAACTCCATTCTCAAAATTTCCATCCAAATTTATTTTTGTTTCACACCCATTTAAAGGAACTTTTAAATGATAATTTAATTGAGAAAGCATTGTTCCGTTGACATAAATACAATTGGGCAAGCCCTCTTCGCTATAAACTAAACCGCGGAAAGGGACATCGAAATTGAGTGAAAGAAGAAAATTGTGCTGTGAAAAGGGGAGATTTTGGAATTTTTTGAAAATATACTTGATCACAAGCAACAGAAGTATCTAGCAAACGGCCATCCAAATAATTTAGTTGATTTACAATATTAAATAAAACAATAAAAATAAATTTAATTAAATATTTAAAGTTGTAATTAATTAAGAAGAACATTTTTTTACAAAACTTTTAAATTAAAAAGATTTAATAAAGATAGGGTTATATCTAAATTCTCAATAATTCTTCAGATATCCAAAACCGGAGCGAAAAATCTTTTTGGTTGACCCCTAAAATTTAATAAAAGTCTCCTATATCGAGCGTCTTTAATAAAGCGAGTTTTTATTTCCTTTAAAATTAAATTAATTTCTTTAATGGCATTTTGAATTAAAGATTTCCGGGGAATTTCTGTCAGAATAAAATAATAATTTTATATTTTTAGTTTGATATACAGAAAATTTTTTTATAAATATTTTTGTGACCGCTGACCAAATCGGCATACAACAATAATTTTACTAAAAAAAGAGTAAATAATGGAGGGGGGAAATAATAATTCTCTGTTGATGATTATGACCTTTGCCACTTTTTTTGTAAAAAAAGAGAGAGGATTTTCATTGAATAACAATAAAAATATTTATTATTTTGTGCGACAAGCAATTAAATATTTTATTAAAATTGAGTGAAAATACCCTCAAAATAGCTAAACAAAAAATTATTTTTTATCTACTCTTCCGCTAAAAATGGTCAAATCCCCAATAATTTAAATATAAAATATTTTTAATCATTATTATGAATAAATTTTAAAAATTGAAAAAAATTTTAAAGTAGTTCTGTGAGAAGACAAATGAGAGGACAAGGAAAACTCAATGTGACATTTTTAAATAATTTGTCCTTCTGACCATTTTGTAATTACCGCTAGTTTAGGTTATTCGTTAGTTTTCTCCAAGTGGGCATTTTTGTTTTGAATTAAAGAGCACTAAAGAGCGCGCACACAATTAGAGAAACAATAAAAGAAGAGAGTGTTATTACGTATGTCTTTGTCTCTGAATCTTTATTCCAATATTTTGTTTATTTTATATCACGTCTGAAATTTATAAATTCTTTTTGCTTGTATAAACTGCTTTTGCTGCAGTCGTCGGTTTAAATACCCAAGTTTGAGGTAGATAAAAACTCCAGCCCCTTGTATGAGTGGCTGCTTGGGATAAATTTTGGAATTGCCTTGCTTTTGTGAGGCTTAAATTTTTTTCTAAAGATAAATTGGTAGAATTTAGGAGAGTTGATTGAAAACAAACTCTTAATTTCCTTGCAGCAAATAACGTAGATTTTATGTGGAAAAAAGTATGGAATCAAAAATATTTCAGGTATTATTTATCCTGAAATAATATAGGATAAATAATAATATAGGATAAATAATATCATCAGGTATTATTAATCTAGGAGATTCCATCTATGGAATCGTTTGATATTAATTTTGATAAGTTTCGAGAATGGAATTGCGCCGTTATGGACGTGCGCCCTTTTGGATGTCATATATTTGATGGAAGAAAATGATAGGCACTAAAAAAGCAGGAAAATAAATGATTAACAGTAAAAAAGTAAAATTACTCTGAGACTCAAATAGGGGTGGGGGCTCCTAGATAAATTTTTAATGAATATGATATAGCAACTTTATTTTTTATACAAGTCCCAGGGAGCCAAAATAATTTTTAAATTACTGTAACCCGATTTCCTGTTGATTTTGAATTTTGATATTTTAATGAAGAAATCAAGTACAGCTTCATTCTTCTGTTATTCCATTCAATATCAAAGGAATGTCTATAAAAATTTTTGTATTTTTTTCGTTTTGTTTTAGAACGTAAATTTTTTATATTCCATACTTTTTTCCACATAAAATCTACGTTATTTGCGAGGAAATTAAGAGTTTGTTTTCAATCAACCCTCCTCAATTCCACAAATTTATCTTCAGAAAGAAATTTACGCCTCACAAAAGCAAGGCAATTCCAAAATTTATCCCAAGCAGCCACTCATACAAAGGGCTGGAGTTTTTATCTACCTCAAACTTGGGTATTTAAACCGACGACTGTAGCAAAAGCAGTTTATACAAGCAAAAAGAATTTATAAATTTCAGACGTGATATAAAATAAACAAAATATTGGAATAAAGATTAAGAGACAAATACAACCTCTCCAAACACTCTCTTCTTTTATTGTTTCTCTAATTGTGTGCGCGCTCTTTAGTGATCTTTAATTCAAAACAAAAATGCCCACTTGGAGAAAACTAACGAATAACCTAAACTAGTGGTAATTACAAAATGGTCAGAAGGACAAATTATTTAAAAATGTCACATTGAGTTTTCCTTTTCACTTTTTATGTGCAATTTAAGAGGCAATTTTTCTCAAAGCTTGTGAAGAAAAATAAGCCGTTTACGAATAAAAATATAAATTTATTTAAAAACAACAACAAAAAATAACAATGTTTATATATTTTTTAATAAGTAAATAATGCAATATTTCCGTCAGCACCCGAAGTTATTAACCAAGGCTGAAAGAAAACAAGATTAATCTAGAAAATCAAATTTATAATATGTATAACAACCTGAATTGGATGAAAAGTAGCACAAAGTATGGACAACCGAGTATTATCAAGTTTTGTTTGAGGTGTCTCTTCATTGTCAGAATTCTTTAAAAATTAATTTTAAATTTATTTTTATTTAAAAAAGATTTTGGGAATATTTTACTGCAAAAATATTTTGTCTAAATGAATAAATTGTTTTGTCTAGATAATTTACAATTTTTAAGACAAAAATAATTTAAAACATTTTCTGTAATTTTTACAACAAATTTTCTATTAAATTCAAAATAAAAACTAACCTCATCTTGTGTTTTATTGTTCATCTTCTTCTCCTCATTTTTGTCCTCCTCTTCTTCTTGTATATTTTCTTCATTTATTTTTTGTTCTTTTAATTTAGTTAATTCTCTTTTTGCCAAAATTTTGTGTCCAAAAAGACGTTTAACTAATTTAAAAATAAGTATAAATTTAATTTTCAATTTTAAACCTGGTACTAATTCATTTTCTTTTTCCAAATCCTGACTTGTTCTAGCATGATAAACTATTGCTGTTGCATCATCTGATCTTTAAAAAAATTTTTTTTTAAATTAATTTCTAAATTTTTAATCTTACACAGTAGCAAGTAAAGGATAACGTTTGTGATATGTAATTGATCGAATTCCTGATTGATGTGTCCGTAGTTTTTTCCAAGGTTTTGTGCCCAATTCTAAGTCCATCCTTTAAATCAAAGGGTTTTTAATAAAACAAATTTAATAAAAATTTTCAATTAATATTTGGTTTCCCAACAAAAATTAATGAAAAATTTAAATTTACTCATAAAATATTTTAAAATTCATCTCACAAAAAAAGTTTCCTAATTTAAAAATTAAAAAAAAAACCAAGAAAATGTTCTATCCAATCCACCAATAAAAAGATTATTTCCTTCTGGATGTAACACCATACATGATAGCCATCTTGTCCCAGGAAAAAGTTTCCTTTTTAGTTCGTTTCTGGCCAAATCATAAATTAAAATATGTTGTCTAGAAAAAAATATTTCTTCAGAAAAATTTTAAAGAAAAAACCCAAACCTCGTTCCAACAAAAAATAACGGTTTTGAAGGATGAAATAAAACAGATTCAACAAAACCTTTACATTTTGTAAAAGGTTTCTAAATTATTAAAAAAATAAATAAAAAATAAAAAAAAAATAATTAAAAAAATAAAACCTGTGAATTACATTTACTTAATTGGTGAATTAAAACAGTACTAGAAGAATATTGAAAACCAAGTGTTGCAAAATAATCTCCTTTTCTATGCCAAACGACACTTCGAATTTTCTGAAAAAAATTTTTTGATATTTAAAAATAATTTTAAACAAAAAAATTTTAAAAACTAATTTATTTCCAAAAGAAAAAATTATTTGACTTCGGCCAGACTCGAACTGGCGACCTTCAGTGTGTTAGACTGACGTGATAACCAACTACACCACGAAGCCATATTAACTAGTGCAAATAAAAATAGTTTTGTACAAAAAGGAATATCTTAAGCAAAAATTTTTTAAAAAAATCACCGTAAAATGTGAGTAAAAATAATATTTTAATTTGTTTATATAAAAAATCTTACATCTTTCATTTCAAGTTGAATTCCTTCCATTTTTGAATTTTTATTATTTTTTTGTTTTTCTTTTTCACAACGTAACCATTTAATTCCCGGTGTATTTTCAGGTGCTTCTTCAATAGGGAGTGAAGCAAGAAATTGTTTTGTTTGAGAAATTAAGAGACGATCACCAGTTGAAATATTTAAAATTGTGACAATTTCACATTCACAAGAAACCTATAATTTTAAATAAAATAAAATCCCGTTAATTACCAAAACAAGCAATTTTTTTGGATCCGGACAGAATTGGACACAAGTAACTGGAGCAGACATTTCATATTTATGAAGAAAATTTCCATTAGGAAGTGCCCAAACACGAACAGTTGAATCGGCACCGCCAGAAACTAAAATCTCGCCAATGTCGGGTTCGACAGAAATTGAACGGACTTGGCCTTTATGTCCACGCATATACTTGAAAATTAGTAAAGGAAATTAAGTTTTTAATAGAAATTAAATAAAATAATAAAATTACAAATGCCAATGTAGTTGGAAATGGTTGAAGATCTTTTGGATTAGGAAGTACAGGCAAAAGTTGATCGGCATTGACGTTGAGCTGAAATAATGTTTACTTTAAAAATTCAAGTCTAGCCGAAGCCAATAACATTTTTATGTCCCCTATTTTTTCTTTAAAATTGAAAAAACTAACTCGTAATTTCCGTTGTCTAGGCGCCAAGTACAAATTCATGCATCGTTCCAAACGTTCATCGTAAAAACGCTCATAGAAAGGAACCTAAAAAATAATGCAAAATTAAACGTTACGTTTGTTGCTTCTTTTTATTATTTTTACAAATTTTCCCAATATTTTTAGAAAGCTCTTTTGTTTAAAAATTAATAAAATAACAAAGGAAACTGGAGGGAAATTCTTAAAGAAAAAAGGAAACAAACATCTGGTAGGATTTAAAACGCTTATTGGTAGGTGGGCGTGAAGCAAAAATCGTTCCGGTAGCCCAGTTGGTAGAAGGTGTAAACGAGTTCGCAGATTCGATTCTTTTCTGTGAGTAAACTTTTTTGCTATCCTTTTACTAAAATAAACCCAAATAGAAAAACATTTCTCCTTACTTTTCTAAAAGCATCATGAGTTCTTGGAATGAAGTTAGGTCTTCTCCTTTCTCTTTCAGTTTCTTCCCATTTTTTCAATTCTTGTTTAGAAAATAAATATTCTGGTGGAGGTCTAATGAAAAAACAAAGAAAATTTAAAAGAAAAATTAAGAATAAAAACCTATAAGATTCAGAATGTCCAGGTAGTTGTACTTTTGGTGCTGTCCAATTCATTCTAAGCCGAGCAAGTTCAGATTTAGTTTTTGCCTCCAAATTTCCTTCATCTGACCAAATATCGTAAACCTTTAAGAAAAAATTATTTTTTAACAAAAAAAAAAATTTTCAAAAAAACCTTCGGAAATTCTTCTTCAAGTTCCCTTTCCTCATCTTCTTTTTCAATTTCTTCTCGTTTTTTCATCCATCCATTTTTGATTGCATGTACCATTCTACCAACAATTCGTCTTTCATCGGCGCTTGGGACAAATGAACTTAAAAATTTTTTAAATATTAAAAATTAAATTTTTGGAAATCTTTTACCTTTTAGAAGGTGGTTGATTTGATATTGGATGAATTTCTCGTTTTGAAGAAAAAATTTCAAAGAAAGGTTGGTAGGGATTATAACCTTAAAATTAAATTTTTTAATATAAATTACAAGAAAATTGCCCTTTTCTTGAACTTTTAGAAAAAATTGGAAGAAATTGAGCCAGGAAAACCGAAATTTTCTAAAGTAAATTATGGTACATATCAGGGCTGGGCGAAATCTAATAATAAAAAGCGAAACTTTTTGCGCTAAAAAAATGCTAAATATGCGAAACACGAAATGTGAAATTAGCACAGACCTGGTACATATAATAGATGTATGCACTCAAATTTTGTTTCATAAAATAAAACACACAAACGATATAAACGGTAAAAAAATTTTTAGCGTCAAAAAAAATTAATTTCAATAAAAATTTAAAAAGATCCAAACCAATTTCAGGATATCTACTGCTTGCTATAGCCTGCAGTTTTTCAACTTGTTCATCACTCAATATAATATCCTGTCCCGTTTGTTTATCGAAAACTCTTCTCCTAAAAATATTTAATTTTAAAAATAAAATTAAAAAAAACCAATAATCCGGATCCTCTTCTCTTTCCAAAAATGCATCAATTTGACCTTTTGGTTGTTCTTTACCAGCAGCTTTATTAATTTTTTCACCATCTAAATTATACCCAACATGTCCATATTCATCATACCATTGAATAGGGATATTTCCAATTGTATTACGAATATCCTGAAATTTTTTTATAAAAATAGAATTTCGAGACAATTTAGCGTTGAGGAATGAATTTTTAGTTTTTTAAAGACTAAAAAATACAAAACTTTTAATTATAACTACGAATTTTTAAATAAAAATTGTAATATTCTTGGAAGTGAAAGTTTGTTCACGGGTCTCGGCAAGAACCCACGAACCTCGGAAAAATATAAAATTTCCTATAAATTTAAAATTCAACCTCCTTTTTACCCAATAAGAATATTTTTTAAAACATGAAAAAAAACCTCCTCATCACTCGAATCATAATAATCAATATTTAAATTAGTTGAAGTTTTAATTTCTTCCTTCTTTTCATTATCAATTTTGTCTTCCTTTAATTTATTTATATTTTCACGTTTTCTTGTCATGTCCAAATTTTATTAAATTAATTATTAAATTAAAAAATAATTAAATTTAAAAAAATAATTAAATTAAAATTTAATAATTCTTTAAAATTTTTAATTGTAAGTATCAAAAATATTTATGCCAAAAAATATATAATTTTTTTAAACACAACCCGTTTCCATTTAATTTAAAAAATAAGTAAAAAAAATATTTAACAGTTATTTCTACACAAATTTTAATTTTGAGATAATTCTCCAGAAATGAAAAAATATTCCATAACTTATGAAGGAAAAAATCAATGTTTCAAGAAGATATCGGATAACTTTATGTTCGAAAAAAGCTTGAAATAAAATAAAATGGGGGAGTTTTTAACTGTTAAATATTCAAAAATATATTCGTCGAATATTATTTTAATAAATTTTAATTTTAAGAATTTTCTAGAATTATAAATTATAATAAAAAAATATACACAAAAATTGCATTTCTAAAAATTTTCGTATCGTCTCAAAAGTCAAAAATTAACCCCAAACTTGTCAAGTTTCAATTAATGTAGCCAAATCACTAAATGAATTTCTTTGATTATTTAATTTTGATTGAGAAAGAGGAATTTCCAAACATTCTCTTCTTACACAAAGCCATTCTCCAAGAGTTGTATAAATTGTACAACTAATTATTTGAAGTAACCACCTTTAAATAAAAGTTTTAAAAAATTATTTGTAAGTTAGTTCTTTCTAAGCACAACAATGCGAAATAAGCAATTCCCGAAAATTAAGAATTTATGTTTTACCTAATCAATCCCTGTTTCGGATATCTTGTAACCAAAAAATCAAGTATCTATCAATAGCGTAGCCAGCTTCTGGGGCTATAGCCCCCCCCCCCCCAAATTGGGAAAGTGAAAAAATTTTAGGAGGGAAATAATCAGAAAGGGCTACGCCCTTGGCATCTATCATAATACAAATCTACTTTATAAAATTTAAATAATCATTCAATTTACCAGTAAAAAAGTCACGCAATCTTGATACTAAATCCTCCCAAAGAGAATATTTAAAAACTAACCAACTCAAATTTGAAGGTATTGTTCTATTATAAAAACAAACAGCCAAGAAATGAAGAAAATGTAGAGTTATTGAAAAGTCCAGACATTGACGTGCTCTTCCAACGATTACAAGTAACATAAAAGCACAAAATAGAGAAGAAATCAATTGAATAAAAACCATTGGTTTTGTTGGCTAAAAATTGATTTTTAAAAATCGCCAAACTATTTATAAAAATAAAGTATTTCAGATTACTAAATATTTTATTATACTTCAAAAAAAATTCAAAAACCCTTTTTACAACCCAAAAGCTCTTTTAGAGAATCAATAAATGTACGTCAGCAGCACGCCGCGCCTGATTTTCTAAATATTTTTCTGTAAACTCTCTTTGAATTTTGTAAATATTTATTTGCAAATAAACGTAAATATTTAACCGTAAATATTTAAACCTCTTCCCGAAAACAACTAACCCTCATGTCCGAAAAAATAAAAAGCCAAAAATAAGTAATCTAGTACTAAAAGTAAATTAAAAAACCTCGACAGCAAATATCTCAGCCAAAGAAGGTATATATCCACTAAAACTCCACAAAAACATTAAAGTACTTTCTGCACTGTAAAAAGCACTTTGAAGGCAAATAATTTGTCCAGCTATTAAAGTTGGATCCCAAACACTTGTACGAAAGGCTCCAGCACCCACCATTGAATAAATAAATTTTTAAATCTATAATTTTAATTATTGTTAAATCAAAAGTATCTGACAAGTGAAAAATTCTAAAATTAAAAAATGGTAAAGCCAATTATTGTTCACACTTTAATATTAAAAAGAAAATAAAACAAAATATTTTTATTTTAAAATTCTGGCAAGCAAAAATAAATTATTTAAAGAGAGATATGTAGTTTTAGACAGACTAGGACATGGATACAGATATTAAAAATGCCTGCGGATATCTGTCTGTATCCGACGTAAATATCCGGATACGGATACCAAAATCAGTATCCGTGTCCTAGTCTGGTTTTAGTGAAGAGAGGAAAGAGCAAAACAATTATATTTTAATTTAAAACAAGTAATTTTAAAATAATTTAGGGGCAATGGAAAATTCACAGAATCGAAAAAAATGAAAATGAATGAACAGACTCAAAATGTATATATGGCATTCTGTGAATAGTCCAGCAAACATTAAGCAAAAATCGTGGAAAGAAGTAGAAGAAGGAAACAATAAATTGCGACATAATTATATTTTAAATATTTTTTAAAGTGAAAATTCCAAAAAAATTTTTTTAATCCAAATCAAAAGAAAAATAAAAAAAACTATTTTAATTTACATTGACGCCATCGAAACATCCAAATCTCCCGGCTGCTGTCTAACCAAACGAATTAAGATTAAGCCATAAGGCTCACGCTGACGAACCTTGACTTTTCGATGTTTTAACAATTCTTTAAATTTATTTTTACATTTTTAAATTTAATTACAAAAAACTTACTCAATAAAGTAAAGAATTTACGAGCTGCACGTTTTCGACCAATTTCTCCTTTCCCAAGTTCATTTACTTTTGCCGCTTGAGGAAAACAAACAACGTTTTGACTCTCTACTTTCTCCACAATGACTCTAAAAACATGAAATAAATTATACTATAGTTTCTCACAATTTGTCTCAATTCTTTTTTTACGCGCAGAAACTTATAATACTGTTGGGGGCAGTATCAAATTTTTTTAAATCAACAAACCAATTTTCACTTTAAGCAAAAGAAAAACATTTTTTCTTTTTTCGAGTTACCCTTTTATCCATTCCCTTTTTATCCATTACTAATGAAAAAAACAAACTCATAAAGTTGATTCATTTCCGCATCAAGCCAATCCTCTTCAGGCACATCCGGCGATGTTTTAGTATTAGTAAATATAGATTCACGACGCAAAGGAATATCATCATCTAATGGCCGATCACTACTTGCATCCAATGAATGCTGCGGTTCTTGTATAGAATCGTTGAGAGGTGCAAGATCTTTATAAAAATATTGTGTTAATTTAAAAATGAAAAAAATTCACGTCTCATTTAAAAAATTAATTTATCTAAAAATAAACCAAATACCATTAATTGTCTCTCGAGCCGCTCGACGTCCAATCTCTATAGCAGATGGCGTAGAAAATCGTCTTTCCTGATCATCTAATTCTTCAAGTAATTCCTTAAAAAGAAACATTTTAAATTCAATTTAACAATTTTTCCGGAAAAAATGTTTAAAAATAAAAATACTTCAGGAGGAAGCACAAGAGAAGCAACCGAAACTTTCACAGGAGGATGTCCATTCTGTTGTATAACAGAGCCTTCAGGTGTAGGCTCACTAACTCGAAATGAATCCACATCCACCTCAAAACGACGTTGTTGAAGTTGCTAAAAATAAACTATTAATTTAAAAATATTAATTAAACACCTCATAAGTAAGAAGCTGTGCTTCCTCGAAAGTTAATGGCCTTTCAAAATATCTTTTTGAGTAATGTTCAATACGTGCAAACAAAGGACGAAACTCCTCATTTGGAAGAAAATCACCTTAAAATAAATTTCTAAAAAATAAATTTAATTCCAGAAAACTTTGAAAAGGTTCCATAAGTTGAGCAAGTGGTGATCGCAAATCACGATTAAATTCGTTCTCAAAATCTCGATTGTTTCTTACAACACCTCTAATATTCAGAATTTGGTCTTGAATTTCTTCCTTAAAAACAAGCAAATATTATTTTAAAAATAAAAAATACATCAGTCAACTGGGTCTGCTCATCAACCAATAAACCAACTTGGCGACGTCTACGGTGAGGCACACCTCGAGGAGGTGGCATATCCAAATCCAAGTTAGGTAATTCAAGTCGCAGTTCCTAAAAATGTTTTTAATTTAACATTTTATTAAAAATAAACAAACATCAAAATTCTGTAAGAATGAAGCATCTTCAGCCTGATCAAAGCTTTGACGATAAATTGGCTCACGAGTTTCGTCCAAAGGCATTTCTGGCCCCAAATCCTTTAAAAATTGAGAAATAAATTTAAAATCCATTTATAATAAACCTCTAAAGTTTCTCGTGATGGAAGTCCTCCTTCAGAACGTCGTTGCTCCACATGCCCATTAGTAACGTTAATTTCCTCTTCCGCTCTCTCAATTGGTTCAATGCCCAAAGCCCTTTCCATCTCCCGGAAACTGTCTTCTCTGTCCTGTAATAATGACGCAACTGAAACTTTTCGTTGAGCATGCCCTTCAGTTTGTTCATCAGTTACAGCAAAATCAAGAGGTGGTAATGCTTCTCCAGCAGCAGTATCCATAAAAGCTTCGTCCAATTCTTGTAATTCGTTTGCCTCTCGACGAGGATGTACTTGTTGGTCAACATAAGAGCGCTAAAATAGTTAACTCAAAAATAATTTTCAGTTTAAAATAACAAACAGGATCGCTAAGATCAAGTAAAGATGGCCTAGTCCCGTGAGTTGTACGCCGTTTTTTGCGAGTTTTAGGAGTCTCCATCGGAACATCATCAAAGTCTTCCTGCTCCATGCCTGCAACAGCAGCTTCAGTCGCTCTACGCTTCCTTTGTGGCTGTGGCGGTTTTTCAACAGGCACGTAAACCATTGTATTAAGCAATGATTGAAGATCACCTGTAAAAAACAATAAAATTTTGAGCCCAACCCGTCACAGAACCGTGAGGAGGATTGAACCAGACCGGTAAAATCAAGTTTGCGGGATCCCGCATGCGGGATTTTTTTAAAATCTTTGCGGGACGGGATCCCGCGGGATAAATCCCGCAAATTGAAAAAAGTGCGGGATTGCGGGACGGGATCTCGCAAAATCCCGCGCGGGATCCCGTCCCGCACCGGTCTCTAGATTGAACCCATAAATTTATAAAAATTTTAAATCATACCAATCAAATAATCGGCCTGAACCTTAAGTACCAAAGCAACTCCATAAGAAAGTTGAGCCAGCAAATAAAGAGACATTTTATTTTGAATCTCTCTGCTATCAAGTCTTCCTGTAGGAACGTAATTTCGCAGGTCCGTGCTAAAAATTAAAAGAAATAATTTTTACTTAAAAGATAAAATACCAAGCTTGACTAATATCAATTGAAAGTAATTCCTTCTTTGATACTTTAGCAGGATTACGTTCATGCATGTATCGCCTAAAATTGTTAAGTTATCAAGAAAAATTGTTTTTAAACTAACCAAATAATAGCAAAGTTCCCATTCTTCCGAATTAATATTTGATATGAGAAAAACATTTACGCTTCAGAAACAAAAATCTTTTTTTCTAAAAATCCTTAGAGACAAAAAGCAATTTTTTAATCAAAAATAAATTCTTGAAAATCAACTTGAATGATCAAAAAAAGTATTGAATGTAAATTAATTTATTCGAATTTGTCAATTTATTTGAATAATAATAAAATTTAAATTATCAGTAAATTTTAAAAATAACAAAATAAAAAGATACCAGACCGAAAAGAGATATCGAACAAAAATCTTGGCTATCGAGATTGATATTTTTAAGGATATCTCGTTGATTTTCGCACGACACTCCTAATCCGGTTTCTATTATATAACAATATAAACGAGTCAATTAAGTAAAAAAATAAATTAATTAAATGTCTGTAAACATTTTTAAAGTCAATTGCAATTTGGCACATTCTTCGGATAGTCACAAACACTGAGGCGAGAATTAAATACTGTCCCAAGTGGACAACTCATTGGAAACAAACGACCCCAAACACAACGATAGAACGATGTACACTTTTCCGGATGGGCAACGTGGTCTCCATGATGATGACCGCCAGCACAGAAAGTCACTGGAAAAAAATAATAATTTTAAACTTAAAAATTTTAACTTCATACCAGAAACATTTTTTGTAGCAAAGTCAGGAGGGTAACCACAAACTCCACGAGCCTCGTCAAAAACCAAACCATGTAAGCAAGACGGATACTCAAAAAGTTGATGAGAAAAACACTAAAAACATATAATTATCTAATTTCCATAAAACGCTAAGAACCTGAAGAACACGAGAATGATTACGAGGATGTTTGTAGAAACCATCAGGCAGTTCCGAGCAAAACTTCTGAGGATAGTATTGAGAATAAGAAGGAAGTACAGGTCTACAGAAAAGTTAAACTAAAATTTCTATAAAATCCTTAAAACCTAGCAGAAGAAGTTGACACCATTTGTTTCCGGGGAGAAACTTTAAAAGAACGCGAAGGCTTGGAATTTGAAGTAATTGAAGTCGGCAGGCATGTTTGAATTTGTTCACGACGTTGGCACACCTCACGCAAAGAATTAAAGAAAAGACCCAAAGGACAATAACGCTCAATTCTGGACCCATTCACGCATGCAAAATAAAATTGTCGGCATCCCCAGGGTATTTCGTCATGAGTACATGGTGTTTTATTTAAAGGCTAAAAAATAATTAAAAAGTAGATGTTTAGTACATTTAAACAAACTTTTGAATAATTGCCCAACAACTCCAAACACTTGTCAATATCATTTGCCGAACGTTTGATTCGTGTGTTGAAAATATCATGGCCAAAATCCACATGAGAATTTATTGGAGCAAACCCACTTTGAATGAAAGAAAGAGGCGGAGAAGGAAGAAAAGCATCGTGACCAACATCCGTAAGACTGTTCATTGGGGCAAAGGCGCTAGATTTTTCGGAAATGAAACGCTCCTCCAGTTGAGGTGGAGGCACATAAACAAGTCTAGGTGGAGGCACATAAACATGTCCAAAAACAGGCAAGGGAGGTTGTGGCAAGGGAGGTTGAGGTTGTGGCACTGGAACAATCAAAGGTGGAGGTTCTGTTGTAGAAACAATCAAAGGTGGTAGCTCTGGTGATGGAAGAATCAAAGGCGGAAGAAGTTTTTGTTGTAACGTTGGTACCTTAAAATTTAAACTAAAAGTAAAGACAAAGAGTAAAACCTCGGTTTGTGTGACGCATTTTTCCCCATCTTTGCATCCTTGTAGAGAAGAATGGGAAGAAGTGCTTTTTCGATATTTTTGAGGTTTGAGGCCAACGAAGTCATAGATCCTCTCACAAAATTTTGAAACAGGATTAAAAAAGAAAAAATCAGGGCATTCAAATTGAAAAGGAAGTCCACCCTAAATAAAAAACTTTAATTAGAAATTTGGTTTAACAAAAATTACATCACAAAATGTCACAAATTTGTCGCATAATCCATTAGCATGGAGGTTTTGTTGTGTGTCATTGCAAGGTTTAGAAAAAGAGTTTGCGAGAAGAGAATTTGAAAAAATTAGGAGACAGATTAAGAAAAACATTTCTAAAATTTAAAGAAATATAAACCCGAAACAAAAATAAAATGACCCACGAAAAAATACTAACAAAAATCATTTAAAACAAGTTAAGCTTAAATAGACATTTTTTAAAAGTTTTCGTTGCGAAAAAAGGAAATATATTATTTGAATTTCTACCGCTAGTTCAGCGCAAATTAGATTAGCTTGGCACTTTCGGTATTTTGTTCCGTCTTGCTGTTTGCCTCATTTTTAAATACCCCAAGGTTAAATATACTCTCAACCTTGATAATAATATATGATTAATTTGGATATGATCAAGGATAGATAGCTAGCGATCGATTTTGCTGGCCCTCAACCAGTCCGCTCTCAACTAACCTCACCCCTATTTTTCTTCGGTCAATTCAGTGCAGATTTAGAGTGCGTCCCCATTTTCGAAAAATTGAAAAAATTTCCTCCAATTAATTAAACATACATGTCAGGCTTTTAATAGTTTTAATTTTTCTCTAAGTCTAAAAATAATAAACGGCACAATTTACACAAAAAAATTATCACATTACAATAATTTATTCTTTGTATTTTTTTAATCAGCTTGGTCCTCATCCCCGCAATGTTCCCAACCAAGCACAATTACTATAGCAGCCAAAAAACTGGTAAAAGATAAAAATTAGAATTTAAAAGTTTATTCTTACAAAGCACATCCAGATACAAGTCCCCATCGCCATGAAGTATCGTAATGCTTTCCTCGCTTTGCGACAGTGGTGACAGCAGTGCTGTCGATTACTTCTTCTGAAATATTTTTATTATTTTCTTTTGATTTAAAGTAGGGGTTGTTGTACTTTTAGAGGAAGTTCCCGAAGATAATTCACCGTCAATCTGATGATTAGTCCAATTTCGATTCTCTTCGGTGACGACACCGAAAATACAATATCTCGATGTTTCACCTTCCAAAAACTATTTATTACCTGTCGTTGCTTGAGTGTCCGTCAAGTTCTGCTTGTATACCTCTTCCACCTTTTTGTTGAATTCTTTACTATCGTGTTTTTGAATTTCCCAAGGATTTCCTCCAGAAATTATAGCATAGAACATCCTTTGATTTTCATTTGGTGGGACAGTTCTGAAATTTTTTTTGGAATTTTCTTTTAAAAAATAAAAGATTTTATCTTACGTTTTGGTTCCCAACAATTCTGTACTGCTGCTATTGTTGAAAGAGAAAATGACGATTGGTTGAAATAATAGAAGAGCTAAACAAAATAGAGTAGACAACATAATGTAAGAGTTTTGTAGAGTTGTAAAATGATGTCAACATTTAAATTGCTTTTATAGGAATAACTTAGATTTTAATAGGTTAATTTTGAGGGAAATTTGCAACATGAGTGTGACTTTTTTTAAATAATTTAGCTTTCTAAACATTTTGAAAAAGAACTGAAATAGGCTATTGGTCGTACCAAATAAAGAAAATTTTAAGGAAATGTTTGAATTTCTCCTCACAAAGAGGATTGGGACGAAATGTCTCTTGAGGACTTTAATTCATCACATCACTCTTAAAAATTGTACAAAAAAGCATTTAATTATGCAATAATCACAACAATAATTTGCTAAACAAATCACAATTATTAATTTCGAGTAAATTTAAAATTCTTTTTTTTATCTTTAAAGTGACTTTAATTGTGCCATTAAATCCCCAAGTTCTTTAGTTGTTGTTTTTGGATTATTTTCATCATCTTTTTCATTATTATCGTCTAAAGGTCCAGGTTCATAAGCTAATTTAATTCCAGATGAAGAAGGAACAAACATTGAAGGTGCTTGGTCAAAGGTAGATTCTGATACTAATTCAATTCCTTCAAAATAAATTTAATTTGTTGTTGAAATTAAGTTTTATTTTTTAAATTATTTAAAAGATATTTTCTATGAGGTTATCCAATAATATTATTTAATTTTTCCGTAGTGTCAAAAAAATATTTTAAAAAATAAAAAATTCTCGGAAGATTTTTCAAATCTAACATTAAATAAATTTACACCAAGTAAACCCACATAAAGGCCATTTTAAATTATTACCACACTTTTTGGAATGCCCAATTTTTAATTAGTTCCCAAATTTTTTCTAAAAATATTTCTATGAATATTATTCCCCAAAATGTTGGGAAATAAATTAAATTTAAAATAATTTTAATTTTTTAAAAATTACTAACCAAATTCATTCATTTCATGAACAATGTTTGACTTTTCCTCAATAATTTTTACATCAGATTTTGATGCTTTTAATTTTTCCTGTTCTTCCTAAAAATTTAAAAATTATTTTTTAAATATTCTAAAAACTAACCAAATAAATTTTTTGCAAACGTCTACAATTTTTATCTTCACAAAGAGGATTGGGACGAATTGTTTCTTGAGGGAAGAAATCAACAAGTCTAAAAATGAATTTAAAAATAATTTTTTAAACAAAGAAACAAACGCGTTATAGCCAAGAAAATTAGTAACTTGACCAAAATTTAATAAAAATCTTCAAAAAAAATTTTAAGAAAATTATTTAAAAAATACAAACTTGAGTGCATTTTGTACTAATAAACCAGCAATAACAGCCATTGTTGTTGGTAAACCTTTAAAGAATTTTTAAAAATTTCTATAAATTTATATACTTGCAGCACATACACCATCCTTTTTAAGAGTTTTTTCATCAATATTTGAAGCCACAATTAATGGAGGAAGACACTAAGAAATAATGAAATTAATTTAATGTAAAGAGAGAATTGAAAAAAAATTCATTAAAAAGGGAAAATAATTTTAATTTTCGAAATATAAATTTGGGAATAATTCCGAAGCAATCTACAGTCTAACTTCTATATTCATACACCCAAAAAATACACCTCAATTTAAAATACATTTTTTTAAATTTTGGTTGGCCATTGAGTTGGGGAAGTCTCTAATTTGTAAGCGATACCCTAATTATTGATATGCTCGACTTTATGTATAATATTTTGAGAGGTAAGACAGTTTCAATTTTTAACCTTCAACAAGGTTTCAAAGGATTCCTTTAAAAGGATTTTCCCTTTTCAAAATTTATAAATTAAAAATTACCACAAAACAGGCAGATTTTCCAGGTTCCATAAATTGTATATGTCCAGATACTGCATTTTCACTAACTCCAGATTCAATCCAAATTTGACCAATTTCATTACATGCCTTTAAAAAAATTATAAAATAATTATAATTAAAAATTCAAACCGTATTAACAGCAATTCTAGCTTCAAAATTATCAACACAACAAAGTAAAATATCTACAGATTTTTTAGTCAATCCACCTTCCCTATAAAATTAAATATTTATTTTTTAAATAATATAAAAAGAAACCTTATTCTTTGACAAAGAATATCAAAATTAGCAACTGTTGTTATATTCATATTATGAACTTCAAATTCAACATCTGGATTAATATGCCTGTAAAAATACAAATAATTTAAAATTTAAACTAATTAAAGGCCTTTCTCGTATTAGAAAAAATTTATTGTTGAAAAATTTAAAGACAGAAAATTTTCTTTTCCATATGTCTCACTTATGAGTACCAGCAAAGTTATACACTATCTCGCTTTTGTCTGCTTATATAAGGAAAGAAAGAAATACGTATATTTTATTTCTAGTGTTTTTTCCGAAAAATATTCCGGAGGGTTCTATTTGAAAGAAAGCGAAATAATGAGCTAAGGCAGAGAAAATCGGAAAGACAAAGTCCAGAAAATATAAACATCTTATATTCTATAAATTCTTATTAAATTTAAAAAATTACATTAAAGTATCACGAGCTGCTTCCACTTTACTCAATCCACTCTGATGTGGCTGATAAAATAATCTATTCATATTAGCCAATTCAACACGATCATAATCAAACTTTAAAAAAAGTAAACCTAAAGAAAAATTTAACAAACCATTATAATCTTTCCAATTCCACAACGAGTTAACATTTCAGCAACAACAGAACCAACACCTCCAATACCAACAACTACAACTGTTTTCTCACGGATACGTTCATAATTGTCAACAATTCCCTTTAAAAATTTAAATTGTTACAAATAAAAAAATATTTTATAATGTAAAACGGGGATGGGTCTGATTGAGGCCAGGCCCATCCACAAAGCAAAGGGCCTGATTGAGGTTTCAAAATTTCCTTCGGATCGGATTTCGCGTTAATTGTAAGTAAAATGTCGGATTTCAGGTTTTAAAATTTTCTTTGGGTCGGATTTTGAGCAAAAAGAGGGTTTCGGGTAACCCGGCACATCCTGGTTCACTACAAAATATTCTCATAAGCCTAAGAAATAAAAAATCGACGAGAAGGGTTAGATGAATTTTTAAATCAATTATTTTAAAAATAATAAATTTAATAGAAAACCATTCGTTTAAGCGCCATTAGACGAGAATAAGGATTTGTGTCCAATACTTCTGCACTCATCTCGACAATTTTTGGACGTATAGCTGGTTCAGTCATCTTAAAATAATTCAAGGATTTCTACATTTCTTTAGCAAATTTAGAGTTGTTGGAAAAGATAAGACCAATCAGAAAATAAAAAACTGGTTGGAAAGTGTAAATTACCGAAATTTGATTTTAGGCCTAAATTTAATCAATTCACACAATTAAAATGTGAAAAGCAAATTTAATTTTAGGCCATTAATTTTTAAAAATAAATTGAACAACCTTTCTACGCTCATCAAATTTTTCTGAAAATTTATCTTCATCAGTGGCCATAAATAAAACCTTGAGAATAACATTATTTCTTTTTTAATGATAAAAATATAAAAATAAAAATTTGTTAAGAAACTTATAAAAATAGATTTTTTTACAAATTTATTAAATAATTTATCGGAAAAAAATAAAATTAAAATAATTAGTGAAAATAATTAAAATAGAGATCAAATTTTAATACACTTTTTCTGAAAAAACGATTAAAAAATCCTTTTTGGTAAGAAAATTTTTTGCCTTTCTCAACTAAAATTAAAATACTCATCAATATGTCTATGCTAATTGTTTTTTCGAAAAAAAAGTAGCAATAGATTTTAACCCAAAAACTTAATTTTTGTTTAAAAGATAAGTCGAAAAATAAACAATCAGCGGGAAAAATAATTAAACCAGTATATATTATCAAAGTAAAAAAGAACCACATTCTTGATTAAATTTACGCTTTGTTGATCGTCGTTTGGAATGAGAAAGCTCACGTCTAACCCACTCACGTTGAAGGCGTTCAGAGTGTTGAATGGCATAAAAAAGCATTTTCTCACTTTCATCAAGTAGATCACGAGGTTTTAAACTATAAATTTTAAATCAAATCATTATAAAATAAGATTGAATATTGGATGTGTAGACCCAAATGACTATTTTTCCAAATATAAACCGATAAATTAATTGCGAGTAAATAAGGAATGAAAAGCTAATTAATATTTTAGTTTGCCCTCCTAATCTACATTATAGTTGACTCTAAAAAAATTTTTTTAAGAGACGAAAAAAGAAGTTTTGGGTTATTTAATTTCAAGATGTTAAAAAATTTAGATTAAACCTAGTGTCAACAGCAAGTGAAATTATTTGTCCAATTCTGGAAGTAAATCCCTCCAATAAGGTAGTTGAAATCCTTTTTGCTTCCGAGGTGTTCAAATACCTAAAATATTTAAATTATAAAATGTAACAGGGTACTAAATCATTAAAGACAGTAAAAAGACAGAAACCTGCACAAAAAGATGCCCAACAAATAAAAATAACGCTGCCTTGCTACGATACAAGTAGCTTCCAATTTTTTTGAACCAGCAGCAATAACATCAGAATTAATTTTGTTGAAAGCATTTGGCAAGTTAAACTAAATAATAAATTTTCTATTTAAAAAAATTAAAAGAAGTTAACCCGACAAATATCTCCAATTCCTGCAGAAAGTAACCAAACAGGAACAACAGTTTGATGTGTTTTGCCTTCTTCGGGCAACTTTTGTCCAATTAATGGGAAGATTTCTAAATATAAACATAATTTTCATAAAAAATAAAAAAGCAACCAAGAGGAGTTCCTGATTCAAATACACAATGAACATTTGCTTTCATTGCTAAAATACTATCCAAATCGTAATAATCCTCGCTGACAAGATGTTGTTGATTTGAAGATGAAGGAAGTTGATCTAATATATGACCCGTTGAATTTAACCCAAAATCGTTCATTAATTAGCTCGAAATTTAAAATTTGAGACAGAAATAAAAAAGTAAAAATCGAAATGAAAAATCGACAATTGAATTTAAAAATATCAGAACATAAACCTTTATATAACAAAATAAAAAAATAAACAAAACAAAATAAACAACAAAAAAATCAATTTTCTGGCAACTGTAGATCTCATAATTTCACGATTTTAACTTTTGGAAATAACTTCTTGATTTCCTCTTTCCTACTCGAATTTGAAGCTATGGCTGTAACTGACTTCTCGTCATCAAAGAGATTTCTAATCGCAGGTGAGCCATCCTTTAATACATCCTCTTTTGTTGCATTCCATATTTGTGAACATAGATAACTAAAAAATAAAAATAATATTTATTTAAAAAAGCAAAATTAATACTTTGTAAATTCCGTATTGACATTTCGAAAGACTGCCAAAATTGCGGAAGTAGCCGTAGATGTAATTGTGCTTTGTGCATTTATTCGTTTACAAACTAAACTTCTTTTTGCAGCTTCAAACTCGGCTTCATTAAGTTCTCCATCAAGGACAGAAAGCTTAAATTAAACGAAATTTATTGCAAACTTTAATTAAAAATTAAAAACTAACCACTGTTTCGCGCGTTTTCTCATAAGCCTCCTTCAACTTCGAGCAACGATATAAATTTAGAGTGATTGATTTCATGTCTGGTAAAATGTAGATTGACGCATCATAGGCTAAACCATTGCCTCGCACAGAATTCCAAAGAGGACCTTCAGATTGGCAGATATAGTGAGCAAGGAGTAGAGCAGACATTGTTGATTTTCCTTTCCAATTATCGTTGAATTTGGCTTTGCGTAGCAAAAAGGCGCTTTCTGACCCACCGACAGAAATTGCGTTGACCTCTCCAATTTTATCCCAGCTCTGACCATAATCTGGATCGCACTTAAATGATAAATTTAGATGAGTAAATTAAGAAAGTAGGAGCTTTAAAAAGAAAACCATTACTTCTGATTGTTCTTTAGGCCTTTGATTCTCCAAAAATGTCCAAGCTTTTCCAATTTGTTCACTCTGTGGTAGATTAGCAAAACTTCCAACAAGATGTAAATTCAGCAATGACGAGAGAATTGAGTTGTTTAATTCTTTTAAATTATCCATTACTGAATCAAGTTTTCCATTCTCCAATGAAGCAATGGAACGGTGGAACTTTTCGTTACTAAGACAGTCAAACATGAATTCGTTAGAATCTGAAAATGAAACTTTTTTTACATGACTAATAAAATAAACCTTTATCATAGACCATATAGTTAGACAAAAAATGAGCAATAGAATTTCCATCACGTCTGTACTCGGCTGCATAATTCGCTAATTTTTTTGCACAAATAAGTATTCGCTGCGGATTGAGAATGAGTTTCTTGAGAAAGATTTCTGTCCATTCGGCCAATTTTTGATAGTTGTTTGTGTCAACACGAAGTTGAAGAGAGATGAAGCGTGAGTAAAAACCTGAGATACCCAATGAGACAAAACGTGAAACCAAGTCACGAGTGACTAGTTTTGCGACTTCGTCATAAGTCCATACTTTATTGTCAATTGTCGCATCAGATTGGAATAATAGTTCGGCCCATAACATCATATATTTGCGAAGATTAACAGGAATCTTGCTTGTGTCTATCAATGTATTTGCCTTAAAATAAAAATTATTTATCACTGATAAAAGGACACAAATCAAATACACATTACCTCGTAGAAATCACTTTTAATCTCATGCCACGTTGTGTGAATAGGCCAGCCATTAAGAACAGTAGAATTAACGGGAATAAGACGAAATTTTTCGAGATCCTTTACAATGAGATCTTTAAGCACATCTGATGTAGGTTGTTTTGCCTAAATTTCAGAAAAATTACCATTTAAAAGAATGATAAAAATTAACCTTATTTTCCGCAAAAGCATCAGCCAAGATTTGAGCCTTCTTTTTGAGTCCATCTTTGCCAAATAACTTCACTTGATCAGCAAGTCGTGTTTTCTCCTAATTGAAGAAATTAAAATAAATTATATAAAAAAAATACCTTCTCCATCAATTCGTCTACTGCTTCCTTGTTTGGTTTGCCAATAACACAAACACAGTTTTGCGTGAAAGTTTCAGAGAATAATGAATGCCAAAAATAGGCAGGTTCATCACGTAGTCGTTTCAAAATTTGTACCTTTAAAAAATAAAAACTTTCATAATTCATACAATTCAAAAAATTTAAAACCTCTTGAAGCCGTTCTTCCAAATCCTTTTCCTGCTCATTTTCATTTGATGGGCCGTACAATTGGTGACCAATAATTGTGCCTGCTATGTATATGTGGGAATTGTTCTCCATGTTAAGCCGAAAACTTCTGATTTGTTGATCTATCATAAAGTGTAGTCGTTCCATGTCAAAAACATCAATATTTGAATGCTCAGCTGCAGTTTTTGAGAAAAATCTGTTAAAAATCATTTTTTAAATAAATAAAGGTTAAACAGACCTATTTCGAATTTGATCACTCTTTGTAACAGGAACTCCCTTGAATGTCATAACAATCTCACAATCATTTTGTAAAAGCAAAAAAATAGAAACTGATGAACAAAATGGTTCTTCAATTTGAACGAAATCCTTTTTCAAAGGTGCCCCAGAAGTATCAACGAGATAATCAAAAAGAAGAAGAAGTGCACGATTTCTGTATACTTCAGATCCTTTAGGCCCTAACCATGAGATCTCCACCACTCCTAAATATATTTGAAAATATTTTTCTAATCCAAAAATTTAATACCAATTGTATCATCATCGGCAGGGCATATAACGACGCACTTTTCTTCTTTGATGGGCGGTGTCCGTAAAGAGAAGGGACGATTGAAGTTTTTCGGAATCGATGTGATGTATGGTCCTTCTACTTTTGCCACAGCTTGAAGCAAATCATCATGGTTAATGGAGCCACTAACAGTAATGAACTAAAAATAAAAATTTGAGACGATTAAAAATCAGAAAGACAAACCATATTATTGAGATTGTAAAAGTGCTTGTGAAATTCCCTAACCCGCTGAGCTGAACACTGTGTACGGAGTTCCTCCAATCGGCCACCTGCCGTTACTGCATAGCTGGAATTAGGTGGGTAAAACAGTTGCTTTTTTTTTCTGTCGACGATAATCTCCATGTCGTTTTCTTTAGCCTGCATCTCACTGTAGACGACGCCAGAGTCTGCACCATTCCCGTCAATATGGTGAACCTCCGTAAGGTATTGAGCGTCCTGAATTTTCAGAATTATTTTAAAATTGATTATTTAATAACCGTTAACAAGGGAGAGAGCAAATGATCGATAAAAATTGGCAGGATTTTTAAAAATCCTGCATGGCCAACTATTGTTGTACTATAGACTGTATAGTCTTGACATGTCGCTGCATTTGTTTTAGAAGCCAAACCTACAATAAGTGAACATTATTTGGGCATGGGTAATCTTTTGAAAGAAAAAATTTTACTCTATCATTTTGTACTTTTCCGAACAAATTATTCTTTAGCTTCTGATCGAAAACTTGGATTCAACCCAAGCAAAAACGCAATATAAGAATTCATAAAACTTACAACGATTCCCGATAACGACAAGAAACCCCTTATAGGGGTAATTTCTGCTGCCCATGAAAACCAGATGCTCCAGAGTGTGCGGTAATCCATCATTAGTAGTCGTTTCGGTAACTGAAAGTTAATGAATAAAATAAGAACTCCGAAACGCAAGACTCATTATTACTTTGTGAAAAAGTATAGAGGCACTTACCAAAGCTAATGCACACTTTCACAATCGGACCCGGAACGGAGGCAACTGCAATTCTAAGCTTTGATCGTAGAAAGTAATAAACAAGATGCTCTGGAACGTATGAAGGAAGATCAGAACAAGGTTTTAGCAGTAATTAATATGTGCAAAGTTGACATAGGTTTGCCAACCACTATTTTTCGAATGGGTATTAAAAAAAATAATTCTTGTCGTCCAATAAAAGTAAAAATGCCAAGCAAGGCAGCGGTTCGGGAAATTCTAAGGGGCAAAAAATATATCATTAATAATAAAATAAATACAACCACACATTTTAATCTACGGGTTAGGGAGTCCCTAACCGCTGCTGAGCTTAAATCTCGCTCAGATCTTGTTAAACAATGTTTTAAAATGCGTAGTGAGCACCCCGGTGCTGACTATGTTATTTATGCCTCCAATGTAATTTTAAGAAGTGAGATAGACAATTTTAAAAAAACTCTTCCAAAAAACTAAGAAGTCATCTCACTTCTCCTATAAATAAATATACTCTTAAACCGACTGTTTCCCATGAAAAAAATTCAAATTTATTTTTAAACAAAAAAATAAAAGGATGTCTTATAAACATTCGATCCTTAAAAAATAAAATTGATAATGTCTCCTGCATTTTAAGCGCGTATGATATAGATATCCTCTTTGTAACTGAAACTTGGCTTACAACAGAAACGCAAAATATTTTTAGCTTAGATATACTTGAAAATTTTAATATAGTTTTATGTAATAGAACTAATCGTAGGGGAGGGGGCTGCGCTGTTTTGATTAGAAAGCACATTAAATTTTTTCTTAAGCATTCTATCTCTAAGTTTAACTCTGAAATAATACATTTACAAATTCAAAATTCTAAATGCATAAATTTTATTCTTATATATAGACCTCCAAATACTAGCATTATTCAAACTAAAAAACTTTTTAAATTAATTGAATCTCTTATTTCTTTCAACTGTATCATATTAGGAGACCTTAATTTTGGATCTAAGGATTTGAATTGGGTCAATAATATTCCATATTGTAAAAACAATTTAGGCGATCTATTTCTCAATTTTTTCAATTCTATGAATTTATCTTCAACTACACCTGGTCCCACTAGAAATGATGCATATTTAGATATTTGTTTAACAAATAAACCAAATTTATTTCAAAATATATATGTTGATGGGTCTCTGTTTAACTCTGATCATGATGCTTTAATCTTTGATTTATTATTTCCTGTAA